CTTTTTCATATAATTCATTGTAGTCTATCAGAAGACTACTGATTTTTGTATATTGATTTGGTATACTGCAACTTTAGTAAATTTCTTTATTAAATCTAACAGTTTTTAGTTTAGTCTTCATGGATTTCTATGTTGAGATTATATCATCTGCAAACAAGGAAAGTTTAACTTCTTCCTTTGCAATTTGATGCCTTTTATGTCTTTGTCTTTGTCTTGGTTACTTTTTTCTCGCTGCTGGAACAAAATACCTGACACCCAAAATTAAGGAAGGAAAGGTTTATTTCGCTTACAGTTCGTGGAAGTTTCAGCCCGTACTTGGCAGATTATAAGGCAGACTGGCACATGGCAACAGCTCAGGTGGCAGAACACAGCTAAGCCGCAAGCACACACACCAGGGCGGAATGGGGGAGGAATGTCCTCAAGCACCCTCTTCCTCTCCCTTACATATGCAAACTATCCACCCCAGGGCTGGTGCAGCTCTCACACCCTTCAAACTCTAAAAGCCTGCCCCGAGACCGCATGAGGCTTTGGGGGACACACAGATATAAACCATAACAGTCTTGCCTAATTACTCTGACTAGGTACGACTTCTTATACGTTGTTCAATAGAAGTGGCAAAGTGGGCATCCTGTGTTGAAGAAAAAAGCTTTCAGCTTCCAATCTAATGTTAGATTTTTAGATTTTCTATTTCTTCATAATTCACTCTTAGTAAGTTACATGTATCTAGGAATTTAGTCCTTCTAGATTATCCAGTTTGTTGGCATATGTTGTTCCTAGTAGTCTCTTATGATCCTTTGCATTTCTGTGTTACCAGTTGTAATATCTCTTTTTTCATCCTTAGTTTTATATATTAGAGTCTTCCTTCTTTTTTTTTGGTTTTTCTCCGGTACCGGGAACTGAACTCACAACCTTGCGCTTGCCAGGCAGGCGTTTTGCCACTGAGCTAAATCCCCAGCCCCTTCTCTCTTTTTTCTTTATTTCTCTAGTTAAAAGTTTGTTGACTGTTTTTTCAAAAAACTATCTTTTCATTTCATTCATCTTATGTATTAATGCTCAAATGTCCATTTCATTTATTTCTGCTCTAATCTTTATTATTTGCTTTCTTCTGCTAGTTCTGAGTCAAGTTTGTTCTTGTTTCTCTAGTTCCTAGAGGTGTAGCATACATTTTTTTGAGGTCGTCTTTTTTTGTTGTAGGTGTTTGCATAGTATGTGTTTTCCAACTGTTTTACCTTTAGCTATCTGTATCATAGTTGTGGTAGGTTCCTTATACTGTATGGTCTACATTTTTAATGAGAATATTTAGAGTATTTACCTTTTTTTTTTTTTTTTTGGTACCAGGAATTGAACTCATGATTTCACACTTGCCAGGCAGGCGCTGTGCTGCTGAGGTAAATCCCCTGCTAGAGCATTTACATTTAATGTAATTCTTCTTCTGGTAGAAATTTCTATGCTATATTACTGTTTGTTTTCTATTTGTTGTATTTTTGTCCCTTTTAAAAATTTTTTCCTACTGTCTTTGGAATAATTTCTCCTGCCTCTTTCTTTACTTTTTTTTTTTAGTGATACTGCTCTAGGGTGACAGTATACATGTTTTATTTATCATAATATCATTTTCTTTTTTTTCTTTTAGGACAGGGTCTCGCTATGTAGTTTAGGCTGGGCTGAACTCACTGTGTAGCCCAGGCTGGCCTTGAACTCATGATGATTTTCCTGCCTCAACCTCCCAAGTGCTGAGATTACAGGCGTGTGCCACCATGCCTGGCTCTACATAATGTTATTATCAAATAATAATATACTATTTCATGTATAATGCAGGAACTTTGCAACCTCTATATTCTCATCTTCTCTTCCTGTCCTTTGCATTACATCATTATACATTTTACTGCTGCATAAGCCCCATAATACATTCAGTTTTTCCTTTAGTTATAATTTAAGCAAATTTAAATATAATCAAAGTCTTTTATATTTACACAAGCAGTACCATTTTTCTTTATTCTTTTGTGTCAATGCAGGTTTTCATCTGATTTCATTTTCTTCAGTCTGAAAAACTTTGTATTTGTTGTAGGCAGCTCTAATGACAAATTCTCTCTACTTCTCTTAATCTAAAAAAACTTTTCATTGTGTTTTGTGTTTTGGGTTTTTTTGTTTTTTTGAGACAGGGTCTTCCTGTGCAGTTCAGGCTGGCCTTGAGCTCACTTTGTAGCCCAGGCTGGTCTTGAACTCAGGGATCTCCTGCCTCAGCCTCCTGAGTGCTGGGATTACAGGTGTGCACCACCATGCCCAGCTTTTGTTGTTTTTTGAGACAGGGCCTCCCTGTGCAGTTCAGGCCGGCCTTGAACTCACTATGTAGTCCAGGCTGGTCTTGAACTCACGGTGATCCTCCTACTTCAGCCTCCCAAGTTGTGGGATAACAGGTATGTGCCACCACATCTGGTAAGACTTATTTTTATGTTTGGTTTTTTTTGACTAGTTATGACTTCTAGGTTGGCAGTTTTTCTCAAGTTCTTTAAAAATATCTTTCAATCATCTTCCAGCTTGCACCTTTCTTAGGAGAATCTGTAGCAGTTCTTAATCCTTGTTCTTTTGTGCGTAGTGTCTTTTTTCCTGCTCTGATTATCTCTTCTGTTGATTTTCAGCAGTTTGAGCGTGGTGCACTGTGATCATTTTCATATATCTTCTGTTTGGGATTCATTGAGCTTCTTGGACTGTAAATTTATGTACAGTTTTCATCAGATTTGGAAAATTTTGGGCCATTATTTCTTCAAACTTTTTTTCCTAGTTCTTTCCTTTCTTGTACCGGGATTCTGGTTGTACTTTAAGTTGGTTTCTATTTTACCACAAGTCTAGCCGTCTTCCTATTTCTTTAGACTTTTTTCACTTCTAATTCATTTTGAGTGATTTTCTGTTTTTGTGCCTTAAAGCCATTCATTATTTTGTCTGCAGTGCCTAATCCTCATTTAATTACAGTGAAATTTTCATTTGAGATATTTTATTTCTCATCAGTAAAATTCGCAGCTGTTTATTTTTGTCTTCCTTCATTCATTTTTTATTATCGTCATTTCTTTTAGATCTTGTGCATATGTTGTAATATTTATAGTAACTTTTGTTTATGGGTCACATTTTTGCTATTTCTTCATATTCTACGGTGATTTTTTGATTAACTACTAGACATTGTAAATGTTACACATTGAGAATTTGGATTTTATTGCCTTTTTAAAACCCTGCTGATATTTTGAAGCATTGTTAGGGTTTATTTAAAGTTATTTGTAGGTCTAGGATAGTTCCACCACTAAAAATTTTTTTGGGATGTCTGTTAAGTGACCTCATGTTCAAGAAAAGTTCTCCATTCTGGCTGGTGAGTCTCAGTTTGCTGCCATGTATGAACTCCAGAAATTATTGCTATATTGCAGTGCTTCCTCCTCTCCCATGCATTGCTCTGGAAATTCTAGCTGTTTGTTACAACTTTGATTTATTTCATTTTTTGAGACAGGGTCTCGCTATATAGTTCAGGCTGGCCTTGGACTCACTATGTAGCCCAAGCTGGCCTCAAATTCACAGCATGCCTCCAGCTTTAGCCTCCCAAGTGCTGGGATTAGTGACATGTGCCATCACACCTAACAGAATTTTGATTTCTGTCATCTCATCTCACACACTGTTGCGCTCTACTTGAATTCCCCCTTTCCTGCATAGTCTGGAAATTGCAGAAAGGCCAAACAATACCAGGGGCATACTTCACTTATTTCCCCTATCAGGGATCACAGTCCATGCTGCCAACTGTTTAATGTCTAAAAACAGTTGTTTCATATGTCTTTCACACTTTCCTAGCTATTTGTGCCAAGGGAGTAGGTCTTGTAACAGTTATCCTCTCATGGGTAGAAGCAGGATTCTCTTGTTTAGTTTTAATTGCTTTTGAACTTTTTCTGAACTAATGGCATACTCTGTATACCTTGCCTTTTTCATTAAGCATTATGTTACTAAGATTCATATTGTTGCATACACCTATAACTCATTCCTTCTCAATGCTTTATTGTACTTTGCTATGTGTTTATACTGCTAGTAATTTTTCTCTTCTCCTGTTGATGGGTATCTGACTTCTTTCTGGTCTTTGCTCTTAAGCACAGCTATGCTATAAATACTTTGCTAAGTGTCTCCTGGGTGTATATCTAGGGGTGAATTGCATCGTGCAGCCTTCCTAGAAGAGCAAGTTCACTCTGGGAGACAGTATGTGACAGCATCCTCAGGCATGAAATGAAGACAGGTAGTTCAGACAGGGAGTCCTCTGCACACATATGGAGGGTCCTATTGCAGAAGGCTGTGTTCAGCAGATGGGCTTGAGCTGCTGCTTGGTGTGGAGAGAAGGTATAGTCAAAGGCAAAGGATCTGTGGAAGGTGTGGTGTGAGGCGACTCCATGGAGACTTCCTGGCAGGACCAGTGTTGGACAGCTGCGTGGAAAAGGTGTGCATGAACTGTTGGTACAGATGACCCAACTTCTGAAAGTATGTGCTTCCTGCAGTGGACACCAGGGAGCCACTGAAAGCTCTCCAGTTGTGGGATAACATGACTGCAACAGTCACCTAACTACATTCTCATGCCCTTTATGCATCCATGTGTGCCCAAGCTTTTCATGACCTCTTCCATGTATATGATTTCTTTTTATTTTTCAGTTTTATTTTCTGAATTTACTATATCACCTTCTCCTAATCCAAGAAATGCTGCCCCTTTTTTCTTCTTCTTATGTTTGAAATTAAATCCTTTTTCCTTATTCTTATTTTATTCCATTTCTGCTTATTTCATATTTTAAAATTTTGATTTGAGCAACTATCTCATTTTCCACTTTAGAAATAGTATATTTCAAAAAGAAGGAAAGAAAGAAAGAGCATATTTCTTTAGGAATGATGTATAAGTATCCTGTTATTGCGCTTTGTCCATAGTTTTATTTCTGTTTTTTTCCTCCTGAACTAAGCTTAGGAGGTAACTGGTTTCTTTCTTTGTCCTTCAGGTCCTACCTTGAACACAAGACCTCCATGAACTACATGTTAGCAACCCGCCTCTTCCAGGACAGGTGGGAATTTACTGAATTTGTAAATTTAGGGTTCAACCATAGGACTAGGAGGAAGTATACAAGGAAGGAAAGAAGCTCTATAAAAATCTTCATGTAAAACTGATAGAAAGGGCCTTGCAAAATATAATATAACCTTATTATTCTTTATTATACCTTATAATATAATACCTTATTTTCCAGAATTTATCCCAACTCAGTCGTTTCTAATATTTTCTTTTTTCCAGTACTGAGTATTGACCTCGTGTGTCGTTTTCAAAAACCAAAACTTAAATCATAAAGCTCTCTGAGCCATCTTAACACATGCCCGAAACTTTGTTCTTCTTCCAAACAAGTTCATGCTCAGTGCTTTTTTACCTTAGGCACAATTTTATCAGACATGATTATCTGGTTTTCTAAATAGAAAAGATTAGAATTACCAGGTCAAAACAACAAAAGGGGAGGTAATTCACAAAAAAAATGCAAGATTTGTAAGAAATGACAGCTGATAATACTAGGGAAAAGTGAGAAAAGAAGGAGAGTAGACACTGCTCACAGTCAGGAACAACTTTGTCTCATGTATTTTGTGGGAAGTTGTGACTGCCCTGAAGTACAGTTCAGTAATTGATTATAAAAATCAGGTACTCTAGTTAGTGAAATTTATATTTGAGAATATGTTTTACTGTTTTTGAAGGGCCCTTACGATAGATACCCATATTGGAGCCATTTCTTGCAGTTTCATGATCTATTATCAGGACACTCAGAGCATTTAATTCTTTCTCTATATTTTTGGTAAATAGCATTAATTAATTATATGTGTAGCTTTTGGTGAGATTTTTGGATTTACTCAGAAGACAGAGTCTTTCAGATCTTTATATATAGCTTTGAATTCTTGGGTCCTGTTCTTCCCTCTGTCCCCCAAAAACTTTGACAAAATGTCTTAGTTACTTATCTCTTTTTGCTAAGACAAAATATCTGACACCCAACACTAAAGGGGAAAACGTTTATTTAGCTCACAGTTTGTAGAGGTTTCAGTCCATAATTAGCTGGCTCCAAGGCAGGGTGGCTTGGCAAAGGGGCATCACAGAGGAGAACCAGTTCATGGCAAGCAGAAGACAGCAAAAGCAAGCAAGCAAGGGAAAAGACAAGTCCCTTATATTATATTCAGATTACCTGGATTAGGGCAGTGCCAAACCAATCGGTGCACTGATTTAGTAATCACACACCCTTAATCCAGCATCACATACTATATTCAGCCACCTCTGAAAAAGCCCCACCTATGATGACCAAATGAGACTTTGAGGGGAACGTCTAGACACAGCCATAACACAAGATTTATCTTTTGAATTCAGATACTTACCAGGATGTCTTATGGTTTGTCATTTTTTAATACTTTGTCTTTAGAGGAGTCCCTTCATTTTAAAATTTTAAGTCTTTTCACTATGGGAAACATTCCCCTTACTGTCTACTTCCTCTCTTGTGGAAATTGTTTTGATATATTTTGTCTATATCCTCCACATTTTTTACTTTTTTTCATGCTCTTATCTCCTCTATGTCATTTCTGCTTTATGTTCTCAGAGACTTCTTTTTTTTCCATTCTTCAGTAGTGAGGATTGAACCCAAGGCCTTGCAGGTACTAGCAAGTGCTCTGCCATTGAGCTATATTCCATTTCTTGGAGATCTCTTCAACTTTGTCTTCTGTACCTCTAAATTGGTCTTACTATTATGAGAGTTCAATTTTTTATCTCAGTATTAATATTCAAGAATTATTTTTACTTTTTGATTATTGTCTTTATTTTATAGTATGTCTTTTCCAATTTCTTTGCCTTTGATTGTTTAAACTTCCTTTCAGCCATCTGCATTATATTACTCCTTTGTATTCATCCAGCTTGTTCATCTTGTTGTTTCTAGTTTTTACTGCTACAAGTCTACAAATACTTGGTGACCTTCGATTGTCCATTCATATTTAAAAATGACAGACTTCTTTCTTAAAATAGCTCATTGGCACGGGTTGACTCAGGGTATGTAGGTCTGCTTCTGAACTGACAGGGACTCTGCTTGCGGTTGGATCTTTCCATACTTGAGCTTCCTATGAGGGGGAAGGGAGGGCACAGTGAGTAAACTGGAGACCATGTGCTACCAAAATTAGGAAGCATTTCCTTTGGGCAGGAGAACAATAAAAGTTTGAGATATAATAATAATAAATATATATATATATATATACACACATATACACACACACATATATATATACAGATATATATATATTTATGGACATAAGGCCTAATAACTACCACAATGTGAAGAATGAGTGCTGATATTATTTTGAAATACTGTGACAATTTTAAGTAATATAAAGAAAAAGAAAGATATGTTTCTGTGGAGAATGATGCTGCACTAATCCACTACTGAGGATGGTTTCCTACCTGTTATATTGAAGGAAATTCTAAATTCCAGTTAGAGGACATAATTGTCTTATCCATGTTGGTATACTCCCTGCATTTTTTCTTCAGGTTCATTAACAACTCTGCTTTATAAAGTATTACAAAAAATTTTGATTAAGAAAGCATAAATTCCCCCCAAGTAGCAAGGAAATGCCCTCATGATCTACTCTTGCCTACCATTTTAGCCTAATATCTACTTTTCCGTACCAACCCATAGCCAGCTAGACCATATTGACTTCTTTCATATCTCCTAATCCTTAGAAACTCCCTCCCCTTCTCTTGGAATGGCCTTTAGTCCATCCCTAATTTCTTCTAGCTATGATCTTTTCCTCTAGCCTAGACTAGGAGAGGGTATACCCAGCCTTTTTTTTATCCTTCAGTTTGATTTAGATTCCTAGATTGTATTATAATTTCCTGTTTACTAACTTTATAGGTTGGCCCTTAAGAGTGAACGAATACTTTGTTACATTTATCTTCCTCAGTATCAAGAGCCGACCATATGGTCAGCACACAAACAAATATGCATTGAGAAAATGAAATTGTATTTGGTCCAGCCTACCACATGGTAGGCACAAGCACAAAAATATGCACTGAGAACAGGAAATCGTTTTTGTTTCAAGGCCGAATATCTTCTGCTAAGTCTCTTTTCTTTACTCTGAATTGATGTTTTCTCTTGCAAATCCAATTGTGTTAGGTTAATTTTGTCTGCCATCTCTCCTATCCCCAGCCCCTCCCCTGTCTACCACCATGCACTGAAAAACAGTATCTCACAAGGCCTTTTGCTAGATGGCAGTAGTTTTATGGGGGTTTTTTGTTTATTGGTTTGAGACAGGGTTTTGAGACAAGGTATCCATACGCAGTTCAGGTTGACCTTGAACTCAATTTGTAGCGCAGGTTGGCCTTGAACTCACAGCAGTCACTCTGTCTGGATGGCAGTAGTTTTAACCCTGGCGGCACATTACTTTTTAAACCAGGTTTATGTCCTGCCCTCCTCCCTGAGGGGAGTGAAGCATAGTAGTCCTTATTAAAAGCTGCCTGGTGATTATAATGTGAAGATGTGGTTGCAGATTACTGGAGAAAACTTATCTGGATGAATGAAAAAAGTTAAAGTCATCTTGAGACTTTGTCATGATAATGTGACAATATCAAGACATTAGGGAGAGAAGATAGAGGAAAGAAAAGACAGAACATTTTGGTAAAGACAACTTTTTCACTTATTTTCTATAAATACATCTTCATTTGTCTCTTCAAAAATGATCAGAAATTAACATGCATATTTACATGACATTTTTGAAATGGCAGCACTTTAGAATGTACATACCACTGGGAGATAGGGATTAGGTAAGAGGTGTGTGGTTCTACAAGTCCTTATGTAGTGCCCTAACTATTCAGTATCTTGGCTGTGGTAGTAGACACATGAACCAACAAAGGTAGTAAAATTGGGCTGAACTAAAGATACACATACCCAGATGAGTACCTGTAAAACTGGGGTTCCCCTCCCCAAGTGTTAAGTGAAAAGAAACTGACTGAGGAGAGAATGTTTAAAAAACAAAAACCCATTTAAACATGCACGGCGCTCAGTTTTTGTGGTTGGAACCCAACCCTAGTTTAGTGACAGTGGAGACCATCCCTTTCTTTACAGAGGTTTTTTTTTCAGTTGTGGAAAAATGTGTTTCTGGTGAATATCCTTTTGGAACCCATGAGAATCAAGCTTGGTTTCCTTTCCTAAAATAGTTCAATGAAAAGAGAAGCTCTACTGTCTGAGGCCTAAGCCCTGGGCTCAAATGTAAACCCTTTAAGCCCTGACCATGGGTAGGCTGCAGCGTTACTTTATCCTTCTTTGTATCAGTTGGGCTAATTAACAATCTTCACATGATTGTTGTGAGCAGTAAGTACAATTTACTTTGGAAATAGACAAATGCAAGCCATTGTTGCCATTTTTTCCCTGGAATTTCTTGCATTTTTCTTATTGTTTTTCATTGATCCTTTGGCTCACTGTGGCCTGCCCTTCTCTGAGGATGTTCTTACTTGCCCTCGCTGCCCTTATTGCATGTTGACTTTCTATAATAAAATTTTCAGGAGTGCTCGTGTGTGTGAACTCCAGAGTAAATACCCAAATAACATTCTCTAACCTAGTTGTCCTTTCTGCTTCTGTAGGGGAAACACACGAAGAAGCTTATTGACAGGAAGAACACGGTAACTGATTTCTAAAGGTTGAGAAATTCTCTCCATGTACATAATGTGTGCTTGTGCACAGACTAAACATACTACTTCATATAACCATTTTCAGTTTTGCTCTGCATGAATACTAACATAAAAATGTTTTTTATTGAAAAAGTATTCTATGGCCACTTTTTGCAAACTATGAAATTTATTATAACTACATGAATATCATTGTAACTGATCATAATAGTGCCCTTGTTTAGCTGTGTGAGAGAGACCAGAGGGTTAATGAGATTTTAAGACTCTTGCCACGTTACACTCAAATAAGTTTCTGTTTTGGCCTTGACATACCTGCTGTATATAACTGTGCCTTGTGGGATGAGCTGAACCTGCTTCCAGTGTGCCACAGAACTCGAAATGTGCAAAACACCTGTAGCTTTTTGTTTGAGCAGAGAAGAGAAAGGTCTTAGCGGAAAGGCTGAGATGGCTTTGTCTCGCAGAAGACTCCAGCTACCACAACAACCCTTAAATGGTAAACACATCTTCTGGTTATAGAGAGTCTGAGACTTGAGACCTTACATATGTCCCCTTTGGCTGTACATCTGTAAAAAAAACGACAGCAGTAAGTAAGAAAGTAACCTCTTATATCTAGTTTTTTGTTTTGCATTTAAGAGTCAATTAAATAAAACTTTGTTTCTTATCTAAGCCCTTTGAACTACAAGTCTAATTCTTCTAAAGGAAAGCATTATGATTGCCTTTTAATTAATGGAAAACTGAATAAATCAAGTTTCTAGCTTGTTGCTAAGTGAGAGTTACACTTTATTTATAAATTTTCTCTAGTTTTTAGTAAAGGAACATGCTTAAAGTATACTGCCATCAGCTTAGGAACTGGTGAGGGGAGAGAAAAAAATCATAAACAGTAAGAATATTTAAAGATCAGTAGGCTCTGTCCTTTTTTTATTTTTTAGAACTTTTGTATTACCACCAGTCGGAGCTTTTTGGTGGGGTAGAGGTATAAACAAGTGAAAGCTGGCACAAGATACCATATTCCAGAGTATGAAACAAACTTAACTATACTTAAAAGGATTGGAATAATACCATGTATGTTCTTTGACCACAATGCAATTGGACATCAATAACAATAGAAACAAGTACAATAGAAAAATATTTGTAATTCCTGTATATTTGGAAATGAAACAATTCATTTCTGACTAATTCATGAATCAAGCAAGAAAGGACAAGGGAAATGAGAAACTCTTTTGAACTTGGTAGTAAAAATGAAACATCAAAATGTCTGGGATACAGCTATCTTTGAGGGAAATTGATAGCTTTTGATGCTTATATTTAAAAAGTAAGGGCTAAATCATTGATTTAATACATATATTTAAAAACTAGGAAAAAGAGTAACCCAAAGTGAGTAGAAGGGAGGAAATAATAAAAGGCACAGATCAATTAAATAAAAGACAAAGATATCATGAAAAAACTAACAAGGTCCAAAATTTATTTATTGATAAACTATCAGAGGTGATGCATAGCCTCAAGTAAACTAACTGAGGAAAAAGAGGAGAACACTAAGTACTGTACCAAGTTCAGATACAGAAGGGAAGATATTACTCTAGATCCAGCAGATACAAGATGCATGCATAGTAAGTCGGGGATGCTGTTTACTATTAACAGCCCTTTCAGTTCCACTGATGCTTAGATGAAATGACTAAATTCCTTGTATGACAGCACTCTTACCTATTCAGAAATCTATTCACTCTTTTGAAGAGCACTCTTATCTATTCAGAAGATTGAATTTGATTTCAAAAAACTTTCTACAAAAAGAAAAAAAACCCAAAACTCTAGACTCATTGGTTTTACAGTGAATTCTACCAAGCATGTGAGCAAGAATAACTCCAGTCTTACATAAACTCCTTCAAAAGTACAGGAATGGACACTTTCCAGCTGTGTTTTGTGATGCTAGTATGACTTATTAAAAAGAAGTCTGACAAAGACATATTAAAAGGAAGAAAGAAAATTACAAGCTAATATCTTTCATGAGGATAGACACACAATTTCTGTTAAGAATACTAATAAACCTTGCTAGATACAATATGTCTTGTAGACCTATCTGCTAAGGAGGCTGAGTCATGAGGATTAGTTGAGCCCAGGAGTTTGAACCCTGTCTGAGAAAATTAGTAAATTAGCAAAATCTTGTCTGAATGAATGAATCAATCAATCAACCTGTCAATCTGCCAGAATATAAAAAATATAACACATATGACTGAGATTTTCCCTAGCAGTGCAATTTGGTTTAACATTTTTTGAGGGGTGGCATTGTTGGGGACTGAATGTAGGGCCCTATTAAGTTGTATTCCCAGCCTTGGTTTAAAATTTGAAAAATAGTCAATATAATTCACACTGTTATGAAAAAAAAAATTATTTCATTAGCTAACTTCTCCCTGAAAAAAATATAGCTGATAAAATTCAAAAGATTATAAAGGCCAGGGATATAGGTCAGCAGCACAATGCCTGCCTGGCAAGTGCAAGGTCATGAGTTTGATTCTCGGTACCCCCCCAAAAATGAAAAGATTGTGAACTACTCCAAGCTTATCAGGAACAATGTGATAAAGGTCTTATATGAAAACTCTGTCACTGTTCCAAGCATAGTAGAGCACACCTGTAATCTCAGCTATTGGGGAGACTGAGGTAGGAGGATCACAATTTTGAGGTCAGCATGGGCAACTTAGTACGACCCTGCCTCAAAATAATAATTAAAAAAAGGCCCTAGGATGTAGCTCAGTGGTAGAGGCTTTTCTAGCATGTTGGCTCCCCTACATTCACTTCCCAGTATTGAAAAGAAAATGGAGGGGGAGACGTCATACCTGGTAAAATATGGAAGGAATTTCTCCCTAGTAAGGCACAGTGTCCATTCTTACCACTTTTATTCACATTGTACTAGAAGTCTAGAGAGTATAATAAAGTGGGGAGAGAATAAAAGGCATACAGATTGCTTTCTTTCTTGTTCTTTTTGGGGGGGGGTAGGGGGAGGTTCCTGGGAATCGAATTCGGGACTGCTGAGCTGTATCGCCAGCCAAAGCATACCATTTGGAAAGGAAGAAGTAAAATCTCTTTTTTCTTAGGTGACATAGTCAAGTGAATAAAAAAATCCTAAGACATCCACAAAGTAAGTATGAGAGCATACAACCGCATATGCCAAGATCTTCAAAGATCAATCTGCTAAAATCTGTTGTATTTTGATATATTGCCAGTCAGTAACTAGAAAATGAAATTTAAATGTTTATTTATAATAGCATTTGAAAATATAAAAGGCTTTGGAAGAAATTTAATAAAATATGTTCAATACTGGCATACAAAATGCTACTGATATCACTGAGCGAGTAGAGGAAGATGTAGCTAAGTGGAGATAGGCCATGCTTGTGGACTGACAGAATTAATAGCGTTAAAGTATCCAATCCCCTCAAATGAATCTAAAGATCTAGTATAATCATAATCATTATCTTAGTAGATTTTTTTTAATAGAAAGTGGTTGGCTTTTGGGTGGGGCTATTGGAAATCAAATGCAATTGCATTCTGCCCCTAAACTACATAGCTCTTTTTACTTCTTAATTCTGAGACAGGCTCTCACAAAATTGCCCAGATTGACCTTGAATTTATAACCTCCTGCCTCAGGCTCCTGAGAAGTGGGCTTTACAGATGTACACCACCACTTTTAAAATTTCTATAGAAATGCAATGGACCTTAGAAAATCCAAAGTAATCTTCTGTTTGTTTGTTTGTTTTTGAGACAAGTTCTCATCATGTTGTAAATTGGCATTAGTAGTATAAACTGGGACAAGGACTTGAGGGCGAGAGTCTGGCAGTTCATTAGAAAGCCTAGCACATTTCATTCTGAAATTGTTACACAGAAGAAATGAAAAGCATAATCACAAAATGGTACAGATATGTTCATAGTAAATTTATTCATAATCTTCTGTAACAACTACATGTCTAAAAATAAGGGAGTAGATAAACTCTGTAAATGTTGTGTTTCATTCAGCAATGAATGAAATGAATTTAATTCCATGGCAATTAAAAAGGATGAATACTGATACATTGTGGACAGATTATGCTGCAAGAAAGAAGGCTTACCTAGAACCATTCACATTATACGGTTCATTTGTATGGAGTTTTAAATTGTTCAAAATTTAAGGCATTGAGGGAGGGATTGACTGGGAAGGGACTTGAGAAATTTCTAGGATGATAGTAATGTTATAATTGAGTTATATCATTGTATGCATTTGTTAAAATTCACTAAGTACACCTTTAGTACCCGTATATTTCACTATATATGTTTTAAGTTACAGAAACTCCTATAATACAATATGAATTCTAAGTAGTAATGATATACATGTGAAATGTTAGGGAGACAGTGCCTTGATGATTGTCTGCAACTTAGAAATGCTTTAAAATTTAAATAGATTGATGGATCGATAGAGGAGGATTGGTATATGTGCTGCCGAAGCAAGCACTGCTAGAGGAGGATTAGATATGTATATGTGCGATGAGACAAACATAGCAAATACAGTTCACTGTAGAAATCAAGTGGAAGGTAAGTATATGGGCACTCATAATTCTTTAAATTGTTTTCTTTGTTTAAATATTTTCACAATAAAATGTTGGAAAAATAACACAGAATAGAGGTAGATAAAAGGAATTAACAGGTTTTTCATAGATAATCAAAATGTTAACTAGACAGTTTTTATACCGTGCCGCTTGTGTGCTGGGCAGGCATGGAGCATGACGGAGACAGTGGTGGACAAGAGAAGTGTAGTCTTCGCCTTCTGAGAATTCAGATCCACGATTCCCCAGCGTCCCATGTGCGTTGTCCCTGTGCTAGTGTTTATCTGTCTCTTAGCTCACGGTTGATATTTTAAATATCTATAGAGAAGGAAATTCTTAGTAGCATCTCTAGATCTCTGAGATTTGGGGATTCATACCTTCAGAAGTCTTTTAGCAGCTTTTGAATAATAATTAATTCTTTTTTCTTGGCACCAGGAGTTGAAGTCAGGATCTTATGCTTGCCAGGCAGGCACTTATGCCACTGAGCTGTATCCCTGGCCCTTTGAATAATAATTATCCTAAGAAAGACATTTTTCTGAAGGAATCATGTTCTTAGCAACATAGGCAGAGATGCTTTTGTTTATATAATGGATGTGGTTCATGAGCATAAACACTGGGCTTTCATTTATTAGGAAGTCTAGTTTACTTCCATCCCTTCAATTAAAATGACCCAAAACATTAAACTATTTCAGATCATGTTAAGTTTTTAAAGATATGGCTTTGAGAAGAGGACTGTTTGTGAGCATCAAGATAAAGATGTCATGTTTGTCTATATGATTTTTAAATTTGATCAAGTCGGCTATATATTATTAAATTGTTTGGATGATTTTTAAATCAAATTTGTTTTATTTCCCATATTATTTAATTGGCTAAATATCTATTTTCATAGCTCCATGTGTGTGGTTCAGTCTTTAGGACTATGACAAAAAATAGATTCCAACTATTTTTAAAGTTTATTGATACCGGGTACATGGTACATGCCTCTGCATGGTACTGCTGCTTGGAAGGCTGAGGCAGGAGGATCACTTGAACTCAGGAGTTTGAAGCCAGCCTGCGCAACTTACACCTCAGCTCAAAAAAAAGCGTTTATCAGTTTGCTTTCTATTTCTTCTCCCACTGTCAATATCCTCCCTGGTTTTGGCTCAGTATCTTGTTCTGAAGAGAAAGCCTCCAGAATATTCAGCATTCACCCTGTCCACCCAGAAGTCCCCCTCAGAAAGATCTAAACAAGCTGGGCATGGTGGCACACGCCTGTAATCCTAGCACTCAAGACACTGAGGCAGAAGGATCACTGTGAGTTCAAGGCCAGCCTGAACTATGTAGTGAGACGTCTCAGAAAACAAAACAAAACAAAAAAAAGAATGACCTAAACAGACTAAAAGACATAGCCTTACTCAGAGACTGAAAACTCCCAGGGGAGTAAGAATGCTGCCCTGGTTTCACAAGGACTGGGCTTTGTGTTCTGGAGCGTGTTTAGTGCTCCCAAGTTAGTGCTTGAGTTCAGAGTGTATATGTGTAGAGTTAGCCGCATGCTCTTAGACACTGACCTAGAACTTCCTTTTTGACCCAGTTACCCCAACCCTGCTTTCCCTTTCATGAACTACTTATCTTCGCATACCTAGTCCTTTTTTGGACTGGGACTCCCGTGGGTCAGCTGATTTGTGACTTGTCTTACTTGAATGCCTCCTATAGCCATTACCAGCCTCCTCTTCGTATCCCACTTCTTACTCACGGCCTGAGTTTGATCTTGTCCTCTGTCCCTGCCTTCCCTTGTTTGTGCTTCTGACTCTAACTTCTGACTTGTACTCTACACCGGGAGGCGCTCTGCTGCTTCTCCTACCTCCTCCTAAAGCCGACTAGGATCTTAGTAAGGGCCGGAGCCTTGGCAGGTCCTCGTGCTAGGATGCTTGAGACCAGGTCTTGGTAACTTTTCACTGAGATACTTCCCCGGTGAGTCTCAGTTAGCCTTGTGCTTCACAACCAGATTATCCACTGTGCCCCTCAGCACACCCTCTGCCAGATCTCAGTTTACTGTATACATTCAAAACAATATCCTATTTGTGAGTAAATTATATTTAATAGCAATAAAATAAACACCTGGTACCATCATGCGACTTAACAATTAAAATGTTTCTAATAACCTGCATAGTAAACATCATATTGTCTCCCTAGTGTAAGAACCTGAAAGAGGAAATAAAATCTGAAAGGTATAATAGTTATTGTGAAAGGGAAAGAAATTGCTCAAAGAGAAGGAACAATTGGGGTGAGGGAAAGGAGAAAAAGAAAGAAGGAAGGGAAAAATATATATGGATATACAAGGATAGCTTGGATAATTGTACTGCTGATGTCTCTGGGTTTATTAAAGGGAACAGTTAATGCTTAATTTTTGGAGCAGTTTTGCATGCCTATATCTGGTAATCTGAACAACTAATTTGAAGAGAATAATATGCAATATAACAACCATTGTTAAATTCCTACCATCTTGATTAGTAAAACTGTATCATTTCTAATGATTTTTAAAATTTTTTATTTTCTTTAATTGTTTGATCAATCTTGCATTCTTACATCTGGTAATCTGAGCAACTTCGTTAAAGATAACAATATGTAATATAACAACCATTGTTAATTTCCTATCATCTTATTTTGAAATTCTGTATCATTTTTATTTGTATTGTTTTGTTTTTATCTTTGTTGTTGTTGTTTTCTTTTCTCTTTAAAATAAAAAGTCACTAATATCTTCCAGTTACATATTTATTAGGTATTGATGACACTTTAAAACCAGTAAATTAATAAGCAATATTTATTACTCAATGCTTGAAGGTACCTAAACATTGTCTAAAGATAATTTTTGTTCAGAGTATGTCACAAGTTCAGACAGACCATTAGTGGGGTTTTACTATAGATCCCATTATTCCCCTTTGTCAGTCAAACCTTTCGAATTCATCAGCGTCGCCATACTCAATGTGTCACATTGAGTAGAGTTCTGTCAAGCTTAGCTCTGGACTGAAGGAGAGATCTTTTGCAAGCTGTAGCTGCCATCTTGTTTTCCCTTAGAATGACCACTGATGGAATGCCAGAGTTGAAGATAGAGAGTGTGAATTCAAAGGCCAAGCTGCATGCTGCTCTTTACGAGAGAAAACTCCTGTCTCTGGAGGTGCGAAAACATAGGCGACGGAGTGGCAGATTGAGGGCACTGAAGCCAAAATACCCAGGTACCTGCCAGTGACCTTTCACCAAACCACATAATCTGCATTCTGCCAGAGCAAGTTAACCCTTAACACTTGCATTGAGAAATAGCTGAAACATACACGTTGGCTCTTACTCTTATTTACCACCATACAGATACCTAATACTTCAGAAATAGGATTAGCCTGAGTTCAATGGACTGCTAAGCATTGCCATTGGGCTTTGTGATGACTAGGTAAATCCAGTCATCCTTTGAAAGCGCTGGATGGTATCAGTATCTTAGACACAGGGGAATTTCTCTCTCAGATTCTTCCTAGTCTATTTTTAACTGATCAACTCACTTCCTTTTTTCCTCCTGCTTTCCTCCTTTATAGATCACCTGCATTAGTCAACATGTTAGTCACTGGGGTTTTATAACAAAGAGATGGCCCTTGTTCTTATAGAACTTACAAGGTAATGGAGGAGAAAAGCAAGGAATAAAAATAGGGTAGAAAGCTATTCCCCTGCTTTTGGCACCTCCAGAAAGGATGCTTTTCTAAAAACCTGGAACACACCTTGGTGGTTAGTGGGGGGTTGTCTTAAATTGTGAGTCATTGCTCTAAGTAATATCAACTCTAATGCAGATCACTGATAGGTTTTTAAGGATTTGAGAGTAAGATGTAATTGCTGTTCATTTTGTGCCTTGTTTGTGGTTTGATTTGGAATTGGGTTTTTACTTAAAAAGATAAAAGAAAGGTGTTGGGAGAGAGGAAATTTTAATCCTTTTTTCAGCAACATTAGTGATTCTTCGCATTTAGTGATTACCCAACCAGCTGAAATGAATGGTAAAACTGAGACAGAGAGTGAAGAGGAAGAAGAAATTGCATTAGACAATGAGGATGAAGAACAGGAAGCTTCCCAGGAAGAGTCTGCAGGGTCTGTTGGAGAAAACCAAGGCAAATGTGCACCCCGGTTGACTGTTGGGGTAGAAAATTTACCCAAAGAAAATTCCATGGAAGTTCCTGAGTGGAATAATAAGGGTGAACAGTACTGTAAGATTGAGACTCAGGAGCCAGAGCCTAAATTTAACCTGATGCAGATTCTGCAAGATAATGGAAATCTAAGGTAAGTACCTTCTGTAACTATAGTAGTAAAACTGAGACTAGCTAAGTTATCCTGTGTGCCAGGTACTGTTTTAATGACTTTACAGACCTTTTCATGGAATATTCACAGAAGTTCTATGAAATAATGACTGAAATTAGACGTTGCTATTGTTAAGTATACTGAGCCTTAGAGAGGCTAGACCCACTCTCTAAACCCAGGTCTCATTGGTTTAAGAATATGTGGTGGGAGTTAGTGTCAGTTATTAAGAGCATAAAGTGGTAGAAACTAGCTTGTCCTTTATTGCAAGAGATTCTTAAAGAACTGGCGCCGTGACTCTCATAAGAGTAAAGTGCTCTTAGGGTACAGAAGGAGAAATGAGTGGTCTCGCTTCAGAGGACTAGAAAGCCATCATAGCGAAGCATATTTGAGCAAGGCCTGAACTGGTGAGTAGGATTTCAGGGGTGACAAGTTTACATGGAGGAGAGGTAGTTAGGTGAAGTAAGGACACAGGGATGATAGTATAGGCATTTATTTGTCCCTCAGCAAATACTTATTGAGAAGCTGCGCTGTACCATGAATTGTAGTAGGCCGAATATTACTTTGGGGACAGACAAGCATGGGGAGTTTATAGTCTGGCAGGGAAGACTGATAGTAAAAAAGAAAGTAGTTTAGGCCATGAGAAATGCAGTAAGACAAAGCCAAATGGTGTCATGTTTTGGTGTCACTGAGGAAAGGGTTACCTGAAGTTGTGGGGATCGGGCCTGAGATAAATTTTGAGGTAAGTTCTGAGTGATGAGGGGTCGGCCACATGAATGCCAAGGTGCATAGCACTCTGGGTAGAACAGAGCATACCCAGGTCCTGAGATCAGAATGAGCTGGGCATGTTACAAAATACAGACTAGAGTAAAGAGTTACATGGCAGAGGAGTATAGTAAGAAATAAGGACTAAAGTCCGGATGTTGGTAGATTATAAAGGCCCTAAAGGGAGCCTGGAGGTTTGTTGTTGTTTGGGTTTTGTTTTGTTTTTCTTTTTTTTTTTTCCTGAACAGTATTTAAACCAGATGCATGATAGAGTTAAATCTTGTTTTAGAAAGGGAATTTTGGTTGCTTGGTGTGATAGTGCTTGACACAGGAAGAAACTAAAGGCAGAAAGGTGAATTAGGGACAGTGAGAATTGTTCGGAGACAGGAACAATTATGTGTAGGTGTCGACAAGAGCAGTGGCTGTAGGGATGGAGAAATTGAGATGGACTTAGGAAATGTGTAAAGTGAAGTTGACAGAGACTATGTGTTCACACGAGGCAATGGGGTAATGTTGTCAACCAACACAAGGAGCATAGGAACTTTCATGATAGAAATTACGGATTACCTTTGAGATATAATGAGGAAGAAGTAAAAATATAGCTTTTATGTCAAGGTTACACAGGATTACACAGTTAATAGTTCAAGCCTTGACTGTGGATGAGATTACTGACTCCATTTAATTCAAGCATAAACAAGGAGAAAAGGAAAAGACTGGAGTCCTGGGAAACGCCACTGTTTGATGAGTAGGTCAGTAAAAAGACCTAAAAATAGCGGATAGCTTAAAAGTTGGGGGAAGTAGGATAGTGAATGCTGCAAGATGAGTGTTTCAAGTCTATAGAGTGTCTCAGATACTCACGTTAGAATAAGGAGTGAAAAGAAACTCCCAGATTTGTAACCCAGGACCAGCTGTGAGGGTGAAGGAATTGTAAGCTGAGGAAATAAGAAAGCAAGTGTGAAGTAACTTTTTTAGAAAGTTTTGGCAATAAAAGGAAGGTTTGAATTCATCAGAGAGAAAGCCGGCTAAGTGATTTAAAAAAATAAAAAAGGCAACCTGGAGCTTACTTACAGGATTTGAAGGATTTGATGGCTGGAGGATTAGAGATGCAGAAATGGATATATTGGAGAGATGGGCCCTAAAGGAAGGTAGAAAGCGGCTCAGGGGAGGGGTATCTCTTCCTAAAGAAAGAAAGGATTATGGGATGTGTGCAGCAGGTAGAAGACAAGAACCAAGGCAGTTTAGGTATATATGCACGATGGTCTTTATTTTCTTATGCAAGGGTGGGGGTGTGACCCCGACACAGGGGAAGAAAGTGTTCAGGCTTGGCACAGTGGTATGGAGATGAGAACAGTTCCTGACTCTGTCGGCCTACCCGAGCTCTGGTCTTTTCGGTGCTTCTAGCTTGTTCTGTGACTATAGGCAAATTGAAGCGCTCCTTTAGGTCTCAGTTTCCTTTTCTGTCAAGCCAAGATAAAGGGCTAGCTAGGGTTTTCAAACTATTTCATGGGGGGGTATAAAAAAAAATCCAGCAAATTGAAAATAGAATATTTGAAAACCACTGGACTGTATTCTGAGTTCCCTTCCTGCAGTAACGTTCTCCTTAGCTCTGACAGAAGTAAATTGTCATAAATCTTAAGGCTCTCACTTTCATTGAATAAACTGTTATCATTGCAGGCTGTATTAGTTTAAATCAGTGGATTGCAGACTGTTTCCTTAAGTTGCCCACTGTCCATGGGGAATCCCAGTGGCAGTAAGAGCTCTCAGGAGAGACAAGGCAAGGGTGTGAGACTGTAGGCATAGCTTCCTTGTGTGTGTCGTATGCTGAGGACTGATGTATGCAAACTGTTGGTTTTTAAAAATAAGTTCATTTGGATGTAATCCTGAATCTCCAAACTTGGCTTGCTGGGTCTCGTTGATTGAAAAGATTATCTTGGGCCTCATAGGAAATATGTAATATAGGTAACATATACAAGTAACAAAACTTCATTTTTTATTATAATTTTTTCTTTTAAAAAAAGAAGAGCTGGATGTGGTGGCACATGCCTGTAATTCTAGCCCTTAGGAGGCTGAGGCAAGAGGATGATGAATTCAGTGCTGACCTGGAGTATACAATGAGACCCTATCGAAGAGGGGAAAGAAAAGAGGGCAAGCTGCCGAAGACAGCAGGCTGTATATACCTGAAATTATTCCAGTTTTCTTTTCATTTTTAGAGGGGAGACTTTGCTGCAGATGACTAGCTGACAAATGCCTTTGAGACAGTCTCAGAATTAACATCCCAGGGATCTCTTTATTAAGGTTTATAGCAATGAAAAACTCAGTACTTTTACATTTGATTTGCCACAAAACAGTGACTGGAAATCTCAACTCAGGTGCAGTAATTCCTGTATCCAAAAGACCTTCACGTTTCAGTGTAAGGGGACCAATCCATGCAGTTGAATATTCTGCCACACTTGGAGCTGTCTAAAGCATGCTATTTCCTGCTCATTATAGTGCATGTGAATTTGTTGACCGAAGTGAAGAATTTTTACTTGGACTTGAAAATCAGTTGTGACAATTAAGCTTGTGTAAACAGTGGAGGTGAAAGTAGTGTGCACTCCCCAGGTAAACAAGAAATAATTGTCTTTGTTAACATTTGGAAATATAAATTCATATTCTGATGCCCCCATAAACCATCCCTGTTAGTAACAAAGATCTGGCCTTATTTATAGTTCATGTTCCGAAGCTATTATGCATGGAACTCACGAGCAAATGACCTCCTCACCCTAGCAGAGAATCTAGACCTGAACTCTCTCAGGATTTCCAGTTTTCCCTGAACAAATCCTTTGTCCAAATCTTGAGGGAACAGTAAGTAGAAAGTATTCAATGATTGCATGTGTGAAGATTGTAAACAAAGTTTGTGTTGGGCCCTAATCTTTGCTGATGTAATTTTGGCTACAGTGTCAGAAGGCCGATCAGCTGAAGTAACCAAATCTTGCCTGAGAGAAAACAGATCTGCCACAATGAGCAGCTAAAGTGAAAATCATCAACATCTCTCTGGTACCTCTGATGTTCAAACTATAGATTGATCAGATCTGTTTGTTTGCAAACTAGGCCATCAGGCAGAAGGTAGCTGCATTCTTCAGTGATACTGCTGCAGTACTTCCCACCAGGCGTAAAGATTTCTTTTTCTGACTGAACATCTGGGCTCGTCCTAGCCAGTCTGTTCATCTCTGCCAAACTCTGTTGGACCTCATTCATTTGTCCTGGGCCCCTGCCACTCCCGCCATGTAGTTGAGAAAAGCATGACCTTAAAATTTGGTCTCAAAAGTTCCTTTGTAGGATTTATCTATTTCCTGCTTTGGAGGCTTTTGCACACTAGAAATAATAGTTGCCATAGCAAAACCAGTACTTTTGTATTATCTGATAAGTATGTCCTTCAAGGCCTTCAATCCAGAAACCTCTCCTCATTACTACAAAAGTTCTTATAAAGACTCAGTCCTTCTGTCCATTCTTGCGAGAAGGTTGTTAAAAAAGTTCAAAGAGATAATATGATGAGTTTCTATTCTTGCTTTTTTCCTGTGCTAATAATGAGAAAATAAATGAGACTCTCCACCCTCGATTCTTTCAATAAAAGAAAAAGAATTTTTAACCTCATGTGCTATTTGAAATGGTTCTTTATTCAGTGAATATATGATAGGCTTCATATTCTTTAGCCATCCTAATAGGAGAATCCTGAAAGGCCACTTTGAGAAAGGCAGATACATATTTGGTAGGCTCACCGTGCTGTCTTATAATGGTATTTTTTTTGGATTTCTACAGCAAAGTGCAGGCTCGAATAGCATTCTCTGCCTATCTCCAGCATGTTCAAACTCGCCTGACGAAAGACAGTGGAGGTCAGACGTTCAGTGCCAGTTGGGCTGCCAAAGAGGATGAACAGATGGTGAGGCCTTTGACTTTTCCTTTCTCTCTCTTTTCTCTCCGCTTTTCTGGTAAAAAGCAGTATATTCCTCCGGTAAAAGAATTACTTCATAGTAAAGTTTCTAGATTTCTCTTACTTTAATGTGATGTAAAGGAAATCTTTGATCTGGAGCCATGTTTGTTATACCACGAAGGGAGGACATCAGTTTATTTCACCCTGAAATGGAAAGTGATTACTCAGCAGATGCTGAACCCTGTGCAAAGCCTTCCAGAAGGATAATAATTTGAAGCCCTTTCTTTTTGTTTGTTTTTTGTTTTTTTTTTTCCTGTTCCGGGAATCGAACTCACGACCTTGCGCTTGCCAGGCAGGTGCTGTGCCATTGAGCTAAATCCCCAGCCCCTTGAAGCCCTTTCTTAAGCCACCTCACATTTTAACTAAGATTGGAATCATTATCCCTCTTTCACAGTGAAACAGATGGAGGAAAGCTAGTTCTGGTGTTCCACAGGTTGTATACGGTAAACTGGAACTTGAACCTACATGTTGCAGTTGGACACTACTTGTTCTTTCTTTGTTTCTGCATGGCATGGGTGTTTATTTCTCTCCTGACAAGTCACATTAGCTATTTCAAGGTCAAAACCTTGTCATAGGCCCTTTCACAAGTGTTATATTTCATAATCCTCCAATTTAGCATTTGTTTTCTTTACTATGATAACTTTTTCTCTTTCTTTCTTTCTTTCTTTCTTTCTTTCTTTCTTTCTTTTTTTCTTTTCTTTTCTTTTCTTTTCTTTTCTTTTCTTTTCTTTTCTTTTCTTTTCTTTTCTTTTATCTTTTTGAGACAGAGTCTTGCTATGCAGTTCAGCCTGGCCTTGAGCTCACTTTGTAGCCGAGGCTGGTCTCAAACTTGCAATGATCTCCTGCCTCAGCCTCCTGAGTGCTGGGATTACAGGCGTGTACCACCATGCCCAGCTACTATGATATCTTTATGAAATTCTTACATTACTGGAATCAAACTTGTATGATCATTTTAACCATATATCGGTTATTTGCAGAAAGGCTTTTCTGTTTTAGATCACAATGACAGAGATCTTTAAGCTCTTCAGTAGGGACCGAGCTTACAGAAGCAAAAGCCCTTACATAGTCTCTTTAACAAGGATCTTCCACCAAAATGAGAGAGACCTTTAAGTCTGAGAAAGATGCACCTTTATGCCACTCGGTGGTAGCCCTACTCTCATTTTTAGTGCCCAACACATGAAAGGCAAGACTGTATGTGAGTGAACTTACAAAAACATGTTGGTTATCCCAGAAAACAACTTGTGAATTTAATGTAGGCGATACAACTCAGAGATAAAACTTTGTGTGTTGTGAATAATCCTTCAACCATCAGTGGAAAATGTTAGCTCTGCTCTTTCCAAGTGGAAAATTGAGACTGCCTTTTTGAGAGTCAGTTTGTCTGCTTCGCTGTGAAAAAATTATGTTTTAATATAGCAGCTTAAACCACTCTACAGTAAAGACAGAGTAAAACTAGGAAATCCAACACTCTGGTTTTGAGTCTGTTCTCTTTATGCTGGACTACATTGGCTCCAAAGGACAGTGAAACAAAATCAAATTCAAGAAGGAAAATAATAGCTTAAAAGAGAATAACCAGTACATGGGCTGGGTATATAGCTTACTGGCACAGCATATGCCTGGCAAGTGCAAGGCCCTGAGTTCGATTACCAGAACAAAAAAAAAGAGAGAGAGAGAGAGAGAATAACACTGCAAATGCTAGCTTAGAATGTATACAGGATTCCTATAGGGCTCTTTATAAGAATACATGGGATCATCACTGCAAAATTTTAATACCACTTCTTTGGCTTCTTTCTTGAAAATACATCTAGAGAGCAATCCCTGACCCAGTAAATTTGCTTGTGAGGAAGGTAGATATAGAATGCCCTTCCTTGGAATTAGAGGTTTTTTCTCTCATAACATCAACAGAAGCTCCCAGGATCTATCCTTTGAAAGTAATTGTTTTGCGTTTATGGAGCAGCAGTCTTTTATTTATGTATTTTGTGTGTGTGTGTGTGTGTGGTACCAGGAATCAAACTCAGGACCTTGCACTCGCCAGGCAGACGCTTGTGCCACTGAGTGTGAGCAACAATCTTTTTAAGGCCGTTAGTGCTACAAAATCTGTCTGACGCATTTGTGATGCTTATAAATATAACCTGATGGTATCTTTTCAGATTGCAAAATTCTTTCCTTCTATATAAATGAGATATATACTTCCTTTTCCTTAAAGACTTCCCATTAAATGGTGCCCTCCTTGCCGACATCTAACTCTTAAAAGCTTCTTTAACCTTGAGCAGGTGAAGAAAGGTCATTACTTTTGAAATACTGAAACAGGCCTTTCTTGGCGGGTCCTATACTAAGGATTGAACCCTTTGCACTGAGCTATATCCCTGGGCCTTTTTAAAAATTTTATTTTACTATTGATACAGGGCATTGCTAAATTGTTAACTTGCCCAGGCTGGGCTCAAACTTTCAATCCTCTTGCAACAGTTTTCCAGAGTGCTGGGATTACAGGCACACACCATTACATCTGGCCTTATCATTCAGCTTTTTAAATCAGTAGTTTCTACTGTTTATATGTATTCTTTGTTGCCCATGAATTTCTTCATGTCTTCCTTCTGCTCTCTTTACTGAAAGTGTCCTCTTGAGAGCATTCCTGATTGGCCAGATCCAGGGCCTAGTCTTGGTTGGGATCCTTTCCACCTCCAACTTGATGGAAGCCTTTGGCATGGATGGGATCCTTTCCTTCTTGGTCTCCATGGCATTGTTTTCTCCAGGGGATTTCTTTATATTTCTAATATTTCTACCCTGTTTTTTCCGGATTCTTCTCTCTACTCTTTGTAAAGTGTGGTCAGGAGGGCCATGGCCTCCTGGGACGGGCACTCATTCTGCCTCAGGTCATACACCAGCAGGTGGTCAGAGCTACAGGTGGCCCAGGTGGGGTCAGAGGTGGGTGGTGCAGAGAATATCTGTACGTATGGATATTCCTGTGTTCTTTTTCTGCCTTCTCATCTTTGATGATTGCATTGGTTCTCAGGCTTTTAGTTTCTACCTGCATTTGAATGCTCCCTTCCATAAATCACTATAAATGATTATCTTTTTAAAGCCATACCTGCTCTTTGAATGGTGGTAGTACCATTTGCATATGTAGCATGGTAGTTTTATAACTGTGACGTTATTACATAGTTACTTGCATACATATTTGATTTTATTTTTTGATTACCATCTTTTAATTTTCTTATTGTCAGCTTTTGAGAATGAGAGTCTTTTGTTTTATCATTCTATATTGTTCTTATACCTAACATGTTTGCTTTGGGTTTTGTTTGTCTGAATATATAATACACCTCTTCTTACATCTGTTTAATACTATTGTAGTTTGTCTTCTGATGCTAAGCACAATCCATTTGCTTTCCTTTGTCACTCTTTAATTTATAGGAGCTGGTAGTTCGTTTCCTCAAGAGAGCGTCAAGTAACCTCCAGCATTCACTGAGAATGGTGCTACCCAGTCGACGGTTAGCTCTCCTAGAACGCAGAAGAATCCTTGCCCACCAACTAGGTGACTTTATCATTGTGTACAACAAGGTTAGTCATTCACCTGGTCATCTCATGTGTTGAATTGCACTACACTGGTGGAAACAGGGTAGATACCTATGTGCAGCTTCCTTTTCCTAGCAGCATCATCTGTGGCACGTTGTTGTTAGAGGGAGTGGGACCTCATACCTCAGCCCACTGGGCTGTGAAACTACTTATTGCTTCTACAGGCCCAGTTGCCATAGTTAACTCTTTTTTTTTTTTTTTTTTTTTTTTTTTGTGTGTGTGTGTGTGTGTGTGTGAGAAACAGGGTCTTGCTATGTAATGCAGTCTGGCCTTGAACTCATTGTGTAGCCGAGGATGGTCTCAAACTTATAATGCTCCTCCTACCTCAGCCTCCCTCCAGCTCATAGTTAACTCTTATCAAAAGACATAGTATTCCTTTTGAGTTTCTGGTCTACCTGCTTCTCTATTGTTTTATTTGTAGACAGTGGTGAGATGACCATTTGAGAGAGAATTTGAACTGTGAATTTACGATGGTGACATAATCTTTTTTCAGTGACTTAGACTTTCTTTTCTGAAACATTTTGTACAAAGGCATTATTTTACAGTCAAGCGCAGGAAATACACTGTTTAATGAGAATTTTTGCAAAGTATCTTGTATCTAAGAGTTTCAGAGTACATTGAAAATATTATTTTGGGAGGTGAAAAGTATGCTTAGTTTGCAGTAGAAAAAGCTGAAGCCTCGAAATTTAAATGGCTTGCACAAGTTGCATGGAGTAGTTAATAGAATACCAACACATCAAACCCACACCCATGATGTGCTCCAGATCTGTTGAGAATCTGTTATGTCTTACATAAGTAAGAATTTGTTAAATTTGGAAGCTGGTAAGAGAGGAGAATCTTTCAAGACCTATTTTTTTCTTCTTCTAAATGCAACAAAATACTGTGTGACTGTTAAAGCTACATGTGTGATCACAGTTGTTACTAAGCTACTTACTATAAAAAGCTCTTTTCTCAATGGGCTGTGTAAATGGATAGTAAAAACATGATTAAAATTTACATTTACTCTGTAACTGTTACTTGGAAATTTCAAAACATCTCACAAAATTATGACCAGAAGTAATATGTTAAGTTTACAGGTGGCAAAAGTACGTGGAGAATTAAATGTCATTACAACAAGGACCACTTAATGCTAGAGTAGTGAAAACAAATTATGAAGTGTGCATTTATCAGGAGTCAGTTTCATCTTGTTTTTCTCTGGGGTTGGGCTTTGGATAGGAAACAGAACAAATGGCTGAAAAGAGATCCAAGAAGAAACTTGAAGAGGAAGAAGAAGATGGGGTGAATGCAGAAAACTTTCAGAAGTTCATCAGACAAGCAAGGTAGAAGACACTCTTGATCAGTAGAAACCGTCTGACTCTATCTCCCGTGCTGCTCATTGAATACCCAGCTTCCTCTTGTTTTCAGCACATGGATATGAATGAAATCACTCTCAAAAGGAGAAAAAGTTTCATAGGCTTGGCCTTTCCATATCTCAGCCAGTTGTGTTGCTGTTGTCATGGCTTCAGTTATCAAAACACTGCTGCTGGGTGTCTGGGCTGTAGCTCTAGACAGTCTTCAAAGTACACACCAAAGGACTGAGAGAGCCTTGGAAATTTAAAGTTAGAAGCTTCTTAGTGTTTACTGGATCTGAATTTATTCCTGACCTACTGATGCTGTGGAGATGACCAAATTTTGCCTACATTGAGTGGGTTGAGGAATTGGCAGTCTCTCAACACCGTGAGGGTTACGCCTCATTTATATAAAATAGAACAAGTTCTTCATCCTTAGAGTTAATGTTCAGGAATTGGAAATCTCAGCATCCAGGTCCCTATCTTGATACAAGATGGCTCGGTCATTTTGTCCATTGACATTGTATTTCCAAAGGAAAAGAGCACTTAATTTAAAATTTTCCAAAGGCACTTAATTTAAAATTTTGTAAGACTTTGTACTGGAGGACCTTTTTAAATTAGAGGGTTATATAAAACTTCTAAAAAAAAGGGATAAAGCAACTTTAAACCCTGTTAGTTAGGTTTCAGTAATCAAATTCACAGTGGGAAAAAAACAACTCTCTGTTATTTGTGAAGTTAAATAAAGTGGTGGTTTTTTAATTAGTATTGTATAAATTTTTAATACCTTGTACAACTTTGCTGTAGCCTCAGCATCATGATCTTGAACATACAGCAAGCAGATACATCATTTTATAGAATTTCCATAATTGTATAGTGCTGTTGTGGACATTCTTGGGTCTTGAGTAATATGACTCATAAAGCAGGTATAGAAACAAAGCAAGAAACAGTTTCTCACATCAACATTATAAAATTAGAAAAAGAAAACAAATCTAGATTATATCCAGAAAATAACTCTAATTTCTAGTTCCTCCTAGAGATTGTCAAAAAGCGATTTAAAAAAAACAACTTTGAAAAAAGTGATGTTTATCTACCTAGCAGGCTTAACTGGACACTAAAAAATTAATCCTATGTACTATATAAGTTATTGACTAATAAAGATTTAGAGATAAAATTCATTGGATTGTATTAATTGTTGATTTTGGATTTAGTATTGATTGCTGAGACATATTTGTTAGTATCAGTTCTTCTTGGATTAAGTTAGGGCAAGGACATGGATACCTTTGTCAGGGCTGGCAAATTCAAATGGCTGTAAAGGCTGGGCAGGAAGCCATAAATGACAAAGTAGGCAGAATATAAGACAGGTATAGAACAACCTGCATTTTGACCAGTTGTCTCCTTTGCCTTTCAGTGTTGTAAGAAGAGCCAAAGAAAGCACAGTGCCAGGCAGAGGTGGCTGCCCCTTTTGTAGCCTTGGCTTTAGATCTGTGGCAGTTATGTGAAATTCTTGCCTTGCATCACTTAGCTGCTTTGGAGACCTTGTGATTCAGTTGGAGACTCCTTGAGGTGGTTCTGTAGGTTCTCTTTAGTGTGTGTTCTGAGGATGGATATAGGTTCTTTGTAATAATGTCGGCATGCTGCTCTTATTTGAAGGTCAGCTATTTGGAATATGGCCAACCTTCAAGAGAAAGAAAAGGAAAAAAACATAAAGAAGCAGATACACATATAACAATGCATGCATGATGTGTATCCTGGTGGGATTCCTTAGACTCTCATCTATTTCATATATTTTCCATTTTGTAAATGTTCATAAATAACACAGAATTTCAATAATGTGAAGTGACCTCAGAGACCATCTACTTTAGTCTCCTAAATGGGTCAGAAAGTCTTCTGTGGTCACATTGGTGGGTCTCTTTTTTCTGACATAAGCGATGAAAATGACAAGTGACTTCTTTAGTCAAGCACTTGAGTTGTCTGGAGCTAGGGTAGGTAGGCAAATCGGAAAGGAGCAGATAATAAATAATTCAGACCCTGTGGACTATGCATGGTCTTTTTCACAAGTTTTTTGTAGTATGTATGAAACTCTTAGCTGGGTATCATACAGAAAGAGGACGCTTTGCAGGTTTGGCCACAGTTGATAGTTTGGTAGCTAAACCAAGAACATGGCTGATCAGAACTTTCTGTGGGTGACTACTGAGCGCTTGAATGGTGTCTACTTTAGCTCAGGAAAATCTTCCATTTTATTTAATGTTACTATATAAATTTGAATACTCTCATATGACTAATGGCTGTCATAGTGGGTAATGCAGATCTAGAAAATTCCTCATGAGATGAATGAAAACCTTATCATGCTTTACCTTTTCTAGCCTGCTTTCATTTATAATTTTCTTTTTAACAGTCTGTTAATGAAGAGTGCCTCTCAGTTTTCCATTCTCCCACTTACTCTATTTCCATAATAAAACCTAGTGGAAGATTTTCCAGAACAGCTTCCCGTGCTGACCATAGTTTTTCTCCTCATTTCAGTGAAGCTGAGCTGGAGGAAGTACTGACTTTTTATACTCAAAAAAACAAATCTGCAAGTGTCTTCTTGGGGACTCACTCTAAAAGTTCCAAGCACAGCCATACTTTTTCTGATAATGGGGCAAAAGGTGGTAAGTATGCCAATCCATTAGTGAAAAATAATAACAAGTGAAAAAATGACAAGTCCAGAGAAGAGAAGAATAATGTGCTGAGCTTGGCATGGTAGTGTATTCCTATAGTTCCAGCATTCAGGAGGCTGAAGCAGGAGAATTGCTGTGCATTCAAGGCCAGCCTGGGTTGCATAAATGAGTTCAAAACCAGCCTGCACTACATCATGAAATCCTGTCTCTAAACAAAACAAAACAGGAATAGTGTACTGGCTGAGCACTGGTAGTCTCCAAGGTGGTGAAACTTCACAGTGTGGGCTGGGAAGGGAAATGATAGTACTTTTTGTCCTAAATGCAGAAGGGGTGCATGATCTTTTTCCCATGACAATTAATAACAGAGAGCTGTTCAAGAAAAGCTATTAATACCTACTATTTAGTGAACACTTCCCTTATTATCTGCTGGAGACAATGAACTAAGTAGCTTGTACAGGTCACTCTTCACCATGGTCACTCTTCACCATGGTCACACAAGGATGCAACCGTCATTCCTGGTCTGGCTGATTCAAAGTTTGTGCTCAGTCTCTACTTTTCTGCCTGTCCTAGTGACTATTTCTCACTCTTGTCACGTAAGACCTCTCAGGACCTTCGATATTTTGAGTAAGAGTGTTCCTTGTTAGGTGGAACTGTTCTATACCTGGTGAGATGTCCAACACACTTGGTACCAAGCCCCAGATGTCATTGCTTGCTGTAGACACTGGGATACATGGAATGTTCTCACTGCAAGAGAACACTGTGATCAGAGATTTTGTAATTGAATGTGGACCAACTATCAACTTAAAGTCATTGTGATCAAAAAATGGCAGTAACATTTTGTTGTAAATAAAGCTCTGTACTTTATTTTTGGGGGGGGGTGGTGGTGGTTTTTTTTGTTTTGTTTTTCTCTGGTACCAGGAACCAAACTCATGACCTTGCGCTTGCCATGCAGGCGCTTTGCCGCTGAGCTAAATCCCCAGCCCAAAGCTCTGTACTTTAAATCTAGGATTTATTTAAAACCTAGAACGAAGTATAAGGTGTGGGTGGTAACAACATACTAGTTTTGTCAGTGTTTATAAGTACCAAATTCAAAGATGGAAACTTCTCCCCTGCTACTAACATTATCATAGTCTGTGTAGAAACATCCAGGCTGTTGTAATTAATATGGAGATAAGCAGGGCAATTGGTCATTTGAAATGTGGAATGAATTTTCCCAAAGAAACCATGTTAATTTTTTGTTTGTTTATTTGTATTTTGTTTTGCAGTGCTGGAAATTGAACCAAGGCCTCACACATGCTAAATAAGCATTCTGCCACTGAGCTATACCCCCAGTCCAGTGTTTCAGAAACTGATTTGGTTCATAGGCTAATCGATAAAAGCTTGTTTAACTCACTGTATAATTGAATTGCTGTCTTACTGGCAGTCTTTCTAAACCCAGCCCTGTTCTTTAAGTTTTCCTCATTATATTATTCACTCATTCCGGCTATACATTTTTACCGAGTACTTGTTAATTGCTAGTGATACAGTGACCAGGACATCATAGTCCTTGACTTCATAAAGTTTATTATGCAAGGAATGGAGTTGGGTAAGTGTCTTAGTTACTTTTCTCATTGCTGGGACAAAAAATTCAACACCCAAGGTTAAAAGGAGAAAGGTTTATTTAATTCACAGTTTGTAGAGGTTTCAGTCCATAATCGGCTGGCTCCAAAGTGGGGTGGTTTGGCAGAGGGGCATCAAGAGGAGAAACAGTTCATAGAGGCAGAAGAAAGCAAAAGCAAGTAAGGAAAAGGGGAGACAAGCCTCTTTCTGTCCCTTATATTGTATCCAGTCTTTTGGGCTTAGGGAATTGCTAATGCTGTGAGTGGACTGATCCAGCAATCACCTACCCTTAATCCAGCGTTGCACCTAGAATCAGTGACACACTCTAGACTCAGGTACCTCCAGAAAAGCCCCATTTGAAACTGCATGAGGCTTGTGGGGACATCCAAGCACAAACCTCAATAGTAGGTGATTGCAAGGTTTGTGGAAGCTCTGCAAAGCTCCTCTAACCATACGGGGAAGAGAGGCTGAGGAATTCTTACAGTGAGGTTGGGATGGAGAAAAGTGTGCTGACGTGGGAAGGTAGGGCCCACATGCGCATTCACATAGTGACTTCTGCCCTGGTTGTACTGGGAAAGCCCTGACAGTATGCACTGCAGCACCTGTTTGTACGGATGGGTCATTTGAAATTCTAGGGTCTGTGTATGAATGACTACCTTTATATTGCAAAGATCTATACTTCTCTGTACTTAGAACAATACCTCTAAAGTAGTAGGAAGGCCTCAAAGAAACATTTGATAGTGTAATATTTGGACTCATTTCAAACACCTACAAACAAGTGTGGTGACAATATTACTGTGGCTGGTGGTGATGGACAGGATGGAATTCACGTGTTCTATTCTTTGATTCTGAAAGATTATATGTAAAATGGCCTGTTTTTGTATGAATCTCCTCCTTGACAAGGATTTTGGAGTATTTCCCTAAGTATATAATTACTTTCGGCTACGCTGTTGGAAAAGTCCATAGTAGACAAAAAGTAATTTATTAGAGTGGGAATGTACTAGAGTGATTTGGTATTGACTATATTGTCTTAAGTAAAAATGAGGTACTTACCTCAAGATACATAGCCATTTTAGTACCCAGGATATGCCCACAAGTCATGGGTTTGCGTCTTGTGTCTGCTGTGCTAAATACATATTATGACTGCTTGGCTCTGTGGGCACCATCAACTGACTGGATCCGCTACACCTCTCAGTCTGAATTCATGGCAAAAGCATCTGATTGTCTTTATTCCCCTCTCCAGACATGTCCCACTTTGGTAGCCGTCCGTGAATGGCTGCCCTCGGTTTACGTATCTTCCTCTAGTTCAGTTGAGTGGAACCAGCGTTGGAAATAGCTAACAATCAGTTTTCTTCTTCTTTTACCTTTTTTTTTATTAGTGTATTTTTGTGGTACGTAATAAATACATTCATTATGGAGAACTAGTACAAATACATCTTGATCTTTTTTGCAGCACTGGGGATTGAGCCCAGAGCCTTCACTTGGAGCTACATCTCCAGCTCTTTTTATTTTTTATTTTGGGACAAGGTCTTAGTAAGTTGCTAAGTTGACCAGACTAGCCTCAAACTTGGGATCCTCCTGCCTCTGTCTCCCAGAATGCTGGGATTACAGGTGTGTGTACCACCATACCTGGCTACATCTTGGTTTTTGCTTTTGTGTTTTTAACCTCTCTTTCATTTGGTTGTTCATTCAGCAGACTGAGTGTGGCCATCATGGGAAAAGTGTGGTGAGATGTGCGGTGTTTCCCGGCATTGATTGGTACCTGTGTTACATTTTTGGAAGCCCAATTGTAATTTTGATTAGAAAAGAGCCTAAGTTGAGGTTTCCTTCTTTCTTATTTCAGATCACCCTGAGACGATGCAAGAAGCAAAAATAAAGCAGCCCAAACAGCAACAGGCAACAGAAATTCACTCCGATAAGTTCTCTCGTGAGTGACTTCAAACTTAGATTTACTACTCTCTAATAAATCTTAAAAGAAAACACTAGTCATTAGATAGTAAATATTTCTAAAGCATGGAACATTTCGCTACAGAAATTCCCTTCCTTTGTTTTTCCTTTTCCCTGAGAACTTCCTCTTAACTGCTCATTATCTACTTTCCTCCCAAAGAATTTTTCCATTCTCTTGGGAAATTACTTTCTTTTTTCTTAGAAGGATGAAAAGAAGAGGGATAGAAATTAGCTGTTGCTCACAGAAACAGGTCCTGCTGTCCTATAACATCTATAAAACATGTTTGCTTGGCTTTGTGCGGGTTGCCCCAACTGCATCTATTAGAACTAAAAATAAACTTTTGTGGGCAGGTTGTCACCAATAGGAAAAATTAGTTAAGTTCATGCTGAGTAATCATTAAAGTTTGTAGTTTTCATGATTTCTGTGTCATGATAAGGTTATTTTGATGTTTAAAAAAATGTTTATGTTTTAGAGATTCTATGTCCATATTTCCTAAAGTGATCTGTTTTTGTTTTGTTTTGTCTTGTTCTTGTTTTAATAGGATTTACCACCTCAGCAGAAAAAGAGGCTAAATTAGTCTATGCCAGTTGTTCCTCTGCTTCTTTCTCTGCTCCTGCTGCTCCTCTTCCGCAGAAAATTCCCAACACCCATTTGTCATCTGTTACAACCTCTGCCCTCTCACCAGGGCTTGGCCACCGTTCTCCCTTATCTCAGATTCCTCCAACTGTTCCCAGCATGCCTCACCAGCCAGCAGTTTTACTGAACCCTGTCCCTGAGCATGCCGCTCCCTCCATACATCCTGGGACACAGAATGTACCAAGCCCCGCTGGCCTGCCACGCTGTCGATCAGGCAGTTACACCATTGGCCCCTTCTCCTCTTTCCAAAGTGCTGCACACATCTATAGCCAGAAACTGTCTCGTCCCTCTTCAGCAAAGGCAGGTGAGTGAGAAAATGCAAGGCAGCCCACCGGGCTGGCTCCTCTTCAGCCTAGTGAAGAATAAATGCTCCCCTTCCCTTTGCCTTTGCTTTTGGAGGGTGAAGGGACACGCTGCATTGTTCTGCAGCTACTAAAGAAGAGTCTTGCATTTTGTCTGGTAGTGTTCATTCACTGAGGTGTCAGTGCAGCACTGAAGCAAGGCTTCTATTCAGTAGATGCCTATAGTCAGGTGATTTCCCACACAGATAATCTTAGAGTTACATGCATTCTTTCTGATTCAAGTAGGTATTCTGATGTTACACAAATTAGTCTTCTCTATTTTTCAGTGCATGTGATGTCAAGAATGACATGAATAAAGAATTCTTCAGACAGGGTATTTGATTTTATGTGAAATAAATCCACATTATCAGTCAAGTCCCCTGTTTGTTTGTTTGTTCATTTGTTTGCTTTGCTTTACTCTGCTCTGCTCTGCTCTGCTCTGCTCTGCTCTGTTCTGCTCTGCTTTGGTCTTAGTACTAAGGACCCAACCCAGGGCCTTACACATGCTAGGCAAGTGCTCTGCCATTGAGCTATCATCTCCAGCACCCCTCCTTTTTAATAACAGTTTCATTGAAATACAATTCATGTTAATCAAATTTGCCCCTTTAAAGTATACAATTTTGGGTTTTAATATATTTACAGAGTTATACAAACAATGCCAGTTTCATCATTCCTGTGAGAAACCTGTACCTATTAGAAGTCACTGTCTGTTTCTTTCTCCTATGAGGCCCTGGCTGCCCAATGGTCTGCTTTCTGTTTCTACAGATTTTTCTGTCCTGGACATTTCATAGAAGTGGAATCATGCCATGGGTAGTCTCTGTGACCTGCTTCTTGCACTTCGCATCGTGTTTCTGAGCTTCACTCATACTGTAGTGTGTTATACACTTCATTCATTTTATGGCTAAGTAATGTACTATTTTATCACCAGTAATACAGGAGGGTTACAGTTTCTCTTTTTTTGTTTTTTGTTTTTTGTTTTTTTTCCAAGAATCGAACTCACAAGCTTGCACTTGCCAGGCAGGTGCTGTGCCGCTGAGCTAAATCCCCAGCCCCCAGTTTCTCCTTATTTTTGCTGACATGTAATGTCTCTTTGATTTCACCCATGCTAGAGGATGTGAGTTAGTGTCTTTTTGTTTGTGTGTGTGGATTTGTATTTCCCTTGTGGCTCTTGATGTTGAGCATGTTTTCATGTGCTTTTTTTCTTTGCTTTTTTTGTTGTTTTCTGTTTTAAGTCAGGGCCTTGCTATGTAGTTCAGGCTGGCCTTGAACCCACTATGTAGCCCAAGCTGGCCTCAAGCTCATGGCAGTCTTCCTGCCTCAGCCTCCCAAGTGTGCTGGACTTGTGGGCATATTGCTACCACAACTGACTCGTGTGCTTTTAACTGTACATATTCTTGGAGAAATGTCTGTTCAAATTCTTTACCCATTTTCAGTTGAGATTTTTGTCTTTTTGTTGAGTTGTAAATGCTTTTTATGTATTTTGTATGTAAGACCTTTGTCCAATATATGACCTAAGAATATTTTCTCCCAATTTGTTAGTTGTTTTTTCACTTTCTTAAATCATAGAAGTTTTAAAAGATATTTTTTTCTTGTGGTTTTTGTATCATAGCTGAAAAAGTATTATCTAACTCAAGGTCACAAAGATTTCCTTGTAAGTTTTTTATAAGAGTTTTATAGGTTAGGCACTTACATTTTGGTCTTTATTCATTTTTCAGTTATTTGTGTATGATGTGATGTAGGGGGTCCAAGTTCATTCTTTTGCATGTGACTATTCATTTGTCCCTGCACATTTGTTGTAAAAGATATTGTTTTCCCATTGGACTGTCTTGGCACTCTTGTTGAAAATCAATTTACGAATTCTTTCTGGAGTCTCCATTTTATTCCCATTTATTTATATGTCTGTCCTTATGCCAGTATGGTATTGTCTTGACAGAACCACATTATGTGTGTAAAATGTTTTGAAATTTTCATGACTGATTCTTCCAGCTTCATTCTTCTTTGTAAAGATTATTTAGGCTATTTTGGGTTTCTTGCATTTTTATATGAACTGTAGGATTAGTTTGTCAACATTTGCACAAATAATCAAATGATATTTTGAGGATTGCATTGAATCTGTAGATCCCTTTGGGTTTCACCTTAATGTTGGTCAAATTTGTAAACACTTTCGGAATCAACACATTAAGGTGAGTTACAGCTAAGCCATGTTTTGTAAATAGCTAATCTGTACCTGTTAATCAATACTTGATTTCAAATGAAATGGGTATTGTAATATGAAGCTTGAGTCAGAGATAGTAAATGGTCTAATTTAATATGAATATATATGCATATGTGTTTCTGGCCTAATTCTAGGGAATCATTGTTACTGAGAATCAAACATAAATGGGTGGAATTTAATTTGGTAGGAGACAGTTTAAGTTTTGATAAAGACAACTATATGCTATTTACTGGAAGTACACCTCAGGATAAAGGGCACAGAATATTGAAAATAAAAGGATAAAAAAAGAAATATCAGGTAAATCCCAGCCAGAAAAAAGGTGGTACAGCTATAGCTAAAGTAGATATTAAGATGGAAAATTTTCTTACAGATAGAGTAACTACAGAACAATGAAAGTTTCAGTTCAGTAGAAAGATAAAACATTCCTAAAAGTGTTTTGAAATACTTTCCAAGTATGTGCAGGTTAAGCTTCCCCAATCTGAAATGGTCCAAAATATGAAACTGAGCAACAGCATGATGCCATAATTTGAAAATTCTGTATCTGACCTCACATGATGGGTCACAGTCAAATGTATATTGTATGAAATTAGCTTCAGGCTATGTACTTTAGGTGTCTGTGAAACATAACTGAATTTTGTACCTGAGTCTTGGGTCCCAACCCTAAGATATCTCATTACAGAAAGTCATGCCTCACTTAACAAAGGTGAAACAGTCTCAGAAATGCACCATTAGGCAGTTTTGCTGTAGGAAAATCATTCAGTGCACTTACACAAACCTCAGTAGTATAGGTCAGTCACTTGACATGGCCTCTTGATGCTATCAAGAGACTTGGTAAACACGAGATGTGTGAGGCTGCTCCTGGTCTAACTTGGCATACTGTTTTACCCAAAACTTATTTTTAATAAATAGAAGCAGTACACTCTCAAATAACAATAAAAGGTATCCTGTAGTAAACATAAACCAGTAAGTCCCTTATTAATCAAGTATTATGCATTGTATGTAAGTGTATGGGCTGAACTTTATATAGCTGACAGCACAGAAGATTTATCTACACCAACATGACTGAAAATGGGAGTCATGTGTTGTAAATTATGATAGCAACAGTGTCACTAAGAGATAGGAATTTAAAAAAAAAAGAAAGGAGGAATTTTACAGTTCCGTTATAATCTTAGGAGGCCACTGTTGCATCTGAGGTCTGTTGTTACCAGAACTTCATTATGCAGTACACAGTTATGTGTGCAGACATTTCATAGTCTGAAAATGGTCTCACATCTAAAACCCTAGTGGCACAAACACTTTGGATAAGAGGTAGTCAAGCTGTAACACAAAAATTGATATAACTACATGAAGAATCTGTAAACCTGTCTCAGTGGGACATTTCCGTGTACTTTTATTAATTATTAATATAGTAAACAAATGTTTAAAAACAAAGAGTAAAGAGGATTTGAATGGAGTGATAAGTTTGTCTGTTGATTATATATAGGAGCAGGCACCCAGCAGTTAGAATACCTTATCAAGCACACATGATGTATTTATAAAAATCAGTCATGTCATACATCATAAACAAGAGAACAAATTTCAAAGGCTTGGTATCACACAGGCTCATTCATTGCCCACACTGCAATTAAATGGAAAGTGAGTAACAAAATAGTTATGTAACAAATCCCCAGGTACTGCATAAATATAATCACATACTATAATCACTGACACACTCTAGACTGAGGTACCTCCAGAAAAGCCCCATTTGAAACTGCATGAGGCTTTGGGGGGGGACATCCAAGCACAAACCTCAATAGTAGGTGATTGCAAGGTTGGTGGAAGTTTAAGAGTAAAAAAGTCATAAATATAATCACATATAGGGCTGAAGATATAGCTCAATGGCACAGTGCCTGCCTGGCAAGCACAAGGCTCTGAGTTCGATTCTTGTTAACCCCCCCTCAGAAAAAAAAAAAAAAAAAAAAAATATATATATATATATATATATATATATAATCAGATATAGTGTATTAGAACTGAATGATAATGGAAAGCTACATGTCCAAATATGTGGAGAACAATGATCAGCAGTGTTTACAGGGAAATTTAAAAGGAATAAAGATGAAAATTAACATGCTACATGTCACATATTAGTCATTATAAAAATAACACTGTCATAAATCTAAATAAAGGAGGAAGACAAAGGAGCAGAAATTATAGAATTCAAAAATAAAATACAGTAGGGAATATCAAAGCAGACAGGCTCTGGTGAAACCAATCGAGAAAAGACAGAAGACATGGATCAATAAAGAATAGAAAAGCAGACAAAATGTAAATAGATGAATACCGTAACAACTTTTAGTAAAATTGAAAACCTGTAAAAGTGGACACACTCCTATATAAACATGTAAAATGCGTAACATGTAAAATGAACTCAAAAAGATAAAGCCTGAATAGCCTTGTATTAAAATAATTGATATAATATTTAAAATTCTTCTCTGAAGGAAAACATAAAGTTAGATAGTTTGATAAATTCTTTGCTCTTCTAAGAGATGGATAATTTTAATATTAGACAAATTTAATAGAGAATTGAAAAAGAAAATATTAGCCTACACATTCTTGTGGCTAGTTTAATGTTGGCAATAAAACCAGGTAAGGGCAGTATTAGAGATTGCAGATCATTTTCATTTATGAAGATAAATATCAAACTTTTTTTTCTTTGAGACAGCATCTTGCTATGTAGTGTAGGCTGGCCTCAAACCCACAACAATTCTCCTGCCTGAGTCTTTGAAGTGCTGGGATTACAGGTGTGCACCACCACACTCGGGCATAAATGCAAAGTTTCTAATCAAAATAACAGCCAGTCAAATCCGGCAATATTTAAAAAAGAGAATACATATCTTAAACAGGTTTCTGTAAATGCCGGAAGAGATTTGACAAAATTTTACCTTCCATTCATAATAATAAGTCTCAGTATTCTGAAAAGAGAGAAACCTTGTACAGCTGAAAAAGAATGTCTACCTAAGCCCTAAAAGAGCTAAATGGGAATTGTTGGAAGTGTTCCTTTTCGTGTTAAGAACAAGATAAGGATGTGCTCATTAATGCTGCTCCTGTTCAACATTTTACAGGTCAGAGCTAACATAATAAAAAGAAATTACAACCTTAGGATCAAAAAAAATGTATTTGTAGATAACATGCTATTTTTATATACAAAATAGCCTATAGATACATTTTAGAATAATTATTTTAGCTGTATAGATGGGCATAAAAATAATATTAAAAATCAAGTCTTTTAATTTACTAGTCCCAAATTTAAATCCTTATATATATATAAAATAAAGCATTATTTTAACTTTGTATTTTAACTTTTAAAGTGTAAATTCTATTGTACTAAAACTAAGATCTATCTACAGAAATTTTTTTTTTTTTTTTTTTTTTTTGGCCTGATTTGAAACAGGGTCTCGCTATGCAGTTCAGGCTGGCCTTGAGCTCACTTTAGGCTGATCTTGAACTCAGAACAATCCTCCTGCCTCAGCCTTCCGAGTGCTGGCTACAGGAAAATTTAGAAAAGATTTTTGGCACTAGTAAAGACCAAACCCAGGGGTACTCTACAGCAGGCCTCCTACTTTTTTTGTTTGTTTTTTAGATAGTTTTGCTAAGTTGCCCAGGCTGGCCTCAGACAGCTGGTAGCAAAGATTGTAGGAATGTACCACTGTGCCTGGCTTACAAGAAACTCTTAAAAGGAACTTTTAGGGGCTGGGGATTTAGCTCAGCAGCACAGCGCCTACCTGGCAAGCACAGGGTTGTGAGTTTGATTCCTGGTACTGGGAAAAAAAAAAAAAAAGGAATTTTTGCAAAGCTTTGTTGAAAGACATCAGAGAAGACCAAAATAAATGGATAAATATACCATGTACATGTACAGGAAGACTCAGTACCCTAAATGTTTCATTCACATCATTTCATCTCTGGATTCAATCAGTACACTTCCAGTCAAAATCTCAAGTTTAGTGTTGAACTCAGTAAGGCTACTCTAAAATGATAATGGGCAAAATACCAGAAATAGTGAGAACTTCCCAGAGAAGCAAAATAAGGAGAGGAGCACCTCCATAAGATAACATAAAGGTATGATAATTAAGACAGTGTGGTATTGACAAAGTACAGACATTTAGACCAGCAGAACAGAGTATGAAGTTAGGAACAGACACACATAGGTGGAACTGTGGTATACGATACAGCTGCCATTGTAGATCATTGGAAAGGGAAAGATTTCTCAATAAATAGTGCTGGGTAAAATAAAATTAGATCCCTGCCTCGTACCATACATAAAAATCAATTTCAGCTGCAAAAATGAAAATTTCTAGAATAAAGAAGACCATTTTTAAGATCTTACGGTATGGAATAAAAAGCCTAACTCCAATTGAAGTCAATAGGAAAAAGACAATAGAAAAATAATAAAGGATATCAGAAAAGGGGTAACTAATGCTCAGACTCATTACTAGTGTAATGATTATACATAAAAACTACAATGACACTTTTCAACTTCTTAGAGAAGGAAGAATTAGGGTGTTTGAAAATACTAAGTGAAAAAGAGTGTATGGATCAACAAGAGCTCTTGTTTTGTTTGTGGGAGTGTGACACCTCTCTGGTATTACTGAATAAGACTGAAAATTTACATACCCTGTGACTAACAGTTCTACTCCTAAGTAAAGACACAAGAAAAGCTCTTCTGCATGTGCACCAGCAGATGTAAGTCAGAGTGTGGATAATGCATTTTTAATAATAGCAATAAGCTCAAAGCAACCAGAATACCCACTGATGGAGGAAGAGAAAAAAGAAGTCATGAAGTACTTGCAAAGTGTAATATCAGACAGTGAATAAAATGCATGAATTTCAGTTATACTTAGTGCACATGAATCTTGGCAGTGTAGTGCTCATTATAAAAGCAAGTCCCGGGGCTGGGGATTTAGCTCAGCGGCAAAAGTGCCTGCCTGGCAAGCGCAAGGTCGTGAGTTCGGTTCCCGGTGCCGGAGAAAAACCAAAAAAAAAAAAAATTAAAAAAAAAAAGCAAGTCCCAGGAAATTACTACAGTAGAATACCATTTTTATAGAGCTCAAAAGTAAGCAATATTATGTAGTATTTTGTTCATGTATACATACACAGAGATACATAACTACATCTGATAAAACCTTATTCAAAACTATTTTACAAGAGGAAGAGAATAAATGACAAAGGGAGATTAAGGAGGGAGAGAAGCACATGAGCCGTGATTATAAGATAGCTCCTATGTTAGGTTAAGCTCACAGGTGTTTGTTATAATATGCTTATACCTTACACATCTATTGTAAATATTTTGTGTGTATCAAATAATATAGTAAATATGCAAAATGTTTTAGAATGTTGCCAGATTGTGTATACAGAATGATTATGGTTATATCATTAACAAAAGGACAGAAGGGGCCTAGGGTATGTCTCAGTAGCTGGTAGAGCATGTGTTTAGCAGGCTCAAGGCCCTAGGTTCAATTCCTTGTAACACAAAGATAGACAGACAGATGTTTCTGTTTTTCTGGGACTTAATAACTATTTTTCAATGAGATATAGGACTTTTAGAATCAAAAAATACAAACCTTGATTTTATATTAAATAATTTCTCTTTGCCAGTACTCCATTGCTCAGAATAATACAACTGTAATAGAATAGTTGAGAAGAAAATTTAAATGAGAAAGGACACTTATTTGAGAATTTAAATCATTGCTCTTTGTTCTAAATACTCTCAGTTTTTCATCCCTATTTCCCTTTTGAGCTTTTTAAGCAGTGTTGTGAACGACTTGACTGGATACCGCAGACTACTGAAAAGTGTAGTTACATAATAAGAAAGCCAATGTTAAGCGTTTCAGAGACTTTTTTGTGTGTCTGTGGCAGAAGTGGGGATCAAAGTAGAATCTTGAGCATGTGAGGCAAATACTCTACCACTGTGCCAGATGTCCATCCCAACATGTTTCTTTTTCTTCAATCAGATTAGTAAATTCTAGGATTGTCTGTTCTCCGCTACCTATGCCGAAAATTGTTTAGTATATTTGTTTTCTCTTGCAGTACTGGGGACTGAACCTAAAGCCTTCGCACTGAGCTACAACTCCCCCCTCTGTTTATTTAAATTTTGAGAAAGGCTGAGCCAAACTTCCTGCCTCAGCCTCTTAGAGTACTGGAATTACAGGCATGCACCGCCATGTCCAGCTGAAAATTCTTTGCGAAGTGTTTATAGTAAGCAAAAGCACATTAATAAGTGCTTGTTACAGTTTGGCTCTTGGAGGAATTTTTAGGAAATGTAAGGTTTTATTTTTATTTTTGTAACTATTTGAAGTTACTGTTCCTTACCTTGTTAAAGATCTCTAGGATTCAGTAAAGTGTCCATTGGCCTGGTATGTTTCCTGTTATCATCCTGATTTTTTTCAGGGCAATTATCCTTAGTGAATGCAAACATCTGTTTTTCAGCAGGTTCATGCCATCCAAGCAAGCATCATTCAGGAGTAGCCAAAGCACAAAAAGAGGGAGAAGATGGCTCTGCATACAACAGATGGTACAACCAGAGTGTGGTCACAGCTGAACTTCAGCGGCTCGCTGAGAAGCAGGCAGCAAGGCAGTATTCCCCGGCCAGCCACATCAGTCTCCTCACCCAGCAGGTACACGTCTGGACCCACACATAGGACCACACTCTCTTTCCCTGACTGTACCACTTGCAGTAAGCCGATGCCTCTTGAATGAGTATTGGTTGGTATAAACATAAAGAATCAAAGTATTTCTCCTCAGTTGTAAAGCAAATGACCTTTTGTTGCAGGTATTATGAGGTTAAGTCTGCTACTGGCCATCATGTACCTATTTCTTGGATAAATACACCTGTTCAGCTGTAAATATAATTTTAAAGGATCTTTAAAAACAGTTTCTTTCTTTGGTAGAAATTTCCATTGAGTTCTACTTTTATAAATCTTTTTTATCAGAATGTCAGTAATACTATCTTTGCTTTTTTTTTTTTCCTGCTTTACTGCAGTTTGTTTCATGATCTCAGAATGTTTTTGTGGCTACTAATGAAGAAGTATAGCTTTATCCAGTATCATTCTCCCCATTTTAAAGATGGGGAAACTGAGGCTGAAAGACATGATGTGGTTAAGATAATTCAGTAAGCTGAATGGATAGAAGTAGGTACTGGGATATTGATTATATATATGAAGTTTCATGTGTATGACTTTTGCATTTATAAGTTTATAACACAATAAAATTAGATGACACTTGAAACAACTCTGTTGTTTCTTTTTTTTTTCTAATTACCCTCATGACGTTTAATTGCAAATAGAAGCTGTATCTCCTCCTCTTCCTTAATACTAAAAGGCATCAAAGTCCTCCCAAGAATGTAAACTCCACAGTTACATTTTGCTATGTCTTTGTTGTGTCAAATTCTTTAATTGGTGGTAACTCAATAATATTAACCGAGTCTATAAAAATGAAGCTGAAAATTATCTTGAGTATGTGCTAAAAAGTAGGCAACACACTGCTCCCTGGTGGTATCCTAGTTCTCTAAAAAATGAAGGATCAAAACTAAAGGTAAGCCTGTCATGGACTTAGCTTTACTTCAGCCTCAATCCCATGTGTGAGGTAGTAATTATTTTCTTTTTCAAATCTCTAGCCATCTGAAGCGAGTAGATGAGGAGGCCTAATGTGAGGTAAACAACAGACAAACTTACAAGGGAGCTGGGTAGTTCATTTTAGTGATAGAATGACGGAGGGAATAGACTGTCAGAACCATGTAGGAGAAGAAATTGTGAAATACAAAATGTCTCTAAGAAAGGGTAAAGGCCAGTGATATGCTACACTTTTATAATTGGGTTGTTTCCAGTTTGGAAATGAAGAGTTTAAAGTACCAAGGCATTAAGAGATTGTGTGCATGCCTGCCTGCGTGCGTGCGATCATAGCAAAAAGCATTGCCAATATGACTGCATATATATTTTCAATTACTATCATTTGCTACACTGCAAAGCCTGCAAAATGATGAATTTTTGCCCCTGTAGTAATCCAGAGCTCAGGTATCCCCATTGGGAAGTCATCTCCCTTCATTCTGTTATCTATAAAGAACTTCAGTGCCAGTGAGCTAAGAGTTCACCAGACTCCTATTCTAGGAATCTGAACCTGTCACTAGACTCCAGTCTTAGCCTTCAGAGTCTTGGTGAGAGTGGTTAGTGCTTGCTACAATAGCGAGAGAGGTGCCAGTGTACTAAGCAGAGAGTGGAAGAGAAGAGGGTTGGATTAGCCATCCAAAGATCTGCATCCTCCTGCCAGGGACTAGCTGTGTGATCTTGGGCAATTCACTCAACTTCTCTCAACCTCAGCAACTTGATTTGTTGATGGAGAAAATCCAACAGAGTCATAAGGATAGACGCAAAGCCTCTTCGTGACGTCTAAATGCCACATACTTGAAAAAGACTGTTATTTCAGGCATAAAGACATCAATATTATTTCAGGCATCAATAATAAATGATTTCTAATTCAATTTGGAAAAAGTAAGTCGTTGAGTAACGTGTACTTTGTTACTGAAAACCTCAATTGTGTGTCACACAGCTCCTTCCCTTGAGAGAAGACAGTTCCTTAATTTGGAATTTGGAAAATTTTCTCATTGTTCTTTTGCTGGTAAATAACCAATAACATGTAATAATGGTTTAATGTTCAGTGTTTCTTTATTTAGCTGTGTTTGTAAAGGAAAGTTGCCTTCGTTTCTTCCTCACTGAAGCAGGTAATACAGGGTTTGGAGAAAGGCGGGCACCACACAGAGCATGCCAGAGCGCTGGGCCTCTCTCTGGCCTTACCATGCAGCTCTTTATGTTTAGTTATCATCAGAAGCAGCTTTGTGTCCAAGAATCACTTTTAGTGCTTTGGCTTTCCTGTCTCTCACTTTTTCTTACTTTCAATTCTTTTATCTTTGTACCTTCTTTTCTATTTTTCTGATAGGATTCCTGGATATCCCCCCTTCCTTTTCATAGGATTAATTCTGGATGTATTTATTTATTCTGTCATTTTATTGTTTTCTAATTCTGTTTATTTGCTTTTTAGTTTGTTATTTGTCTTTTTGAGACAGGGTTTCACTATGCAGTTTAGGTTGGCCTTGAGCTCACTTTGTAACCCAGGCTGGCCTCCAATTCACAGCAATCATCCTACCTCAGCCTCCCAAGTGCTGGGATTACAGGCATGCGCCGCCATGCCCAGCACTTTACCAGTTTCTTGAGATGGAATCTCACTGTGTAGTTCAGGGTGGTCTTAAACTCACTATGTAGCCCAAGCTGGCCTTGAACTTGTGGCGATCCTCCTGCCTCAGCCTTCCAAGTGCTAGGATTACAGGCATGCGCCACCAAGTTCAGCTATCTAATTCATTATTTTCTTATTTTTTTACTAATTCCTTCCTTCCTTTCCTTCTTTCCTTAAGTTTATTAACTCATTCTTATGCCTTTATTTGGGGCTTAACTTACTTAAATTAGTTCTGGGATTTTTTATTTTGTTTTTCCAATATTGAATGCTATCAGTTTTTCTCTGAACATTGCTTAATTATAGCCCATAAACTCTGCTATTTACTTAATTGCTTTTTTAGGCAAAAAATTAAAGAGACTTCCTACTAGATAAGGAAAACTGAGTTTAAATTATTTGTACTATTTTGGGAGATGAATATAGAAAATTGGACTTGTAGGATTTTTTTTTTTTTCTTTTTCTTTTTTTGTCTTTTTGAGACAGATCTTGCTATGGAGTTCAGGCTGGCCTCGAGCTCACTTTGTAGCCAGACTGGTCTCAAACTCAACGATCCTCCTGCTTCAGCCTCCTAAGTGCTGGGATTATAGGCGTGCACCACCATGTCCGGCTGGAATTGCTGGATATTTCTGAAAAAAAAATTTACCTATAATTTCAACTATTTAGCTTACTCAAAGCATTTAGTGTTATTTTCTGTAAAACCTTTTATTCCACTGTTTATTTATTAAACATTTTAACTAAGTTCTTAAGAGGTTTCTAGGCTTTGGTCCTGAGCCGAGGGACTGCTGTAAAATATAGTCCTTTGCATGAAAGAACTCAGTTTCCCAAATGTGACAGCAACATAAACAGATAATAGCAATAGCCTGGAACATGCATGACTGAGATATTCCTGGGGAATAACAGAACCACCAAAAGGGATCCCTAACCCAGCTCGAGAGCAGGGCTGGGAAGACCACCGCAGGATTCATGGAAGGGATACTACTTTCACTAAAACTTTAAGATAAGGAGGTGGGTGGCAGAACATTCGAAGCAGCTTCCTGGATAAAAACTAGCAATCGTGGCTGCAGGGAAGGAGCACGCTGCTCTGTGATGGGTAGGAGGTAAGGAGTCAGCAGGGGCAACATAGACCTGAAGCTGGAGAGAAGGCAGGGGCTGCTTTGGGGAGAGTTTCTGAGACACTGTGCAGGACCTTCCTCATGGATGATGGGAGCCACCGAGGTCCAGTCACCTTTCCCTGTAGCTGGAGGAGAGTGGGTAAGAATGGGTAAGAGGGTGCAGCTTTGTCACGCTTCTTCCTCCCTTCCTGAGGGCAGATGCTGAGGAATTGTGAAGTAGCCAAAGGCAGAGGAGTACTCTGATGACCCTAAAGACTGGGAATATAAAATTTTGAGGGATGCAGAATTCACATTAGAGGCTCGAATCTTAAAGAGTTTATATGACTAAAAATAACTTCACTTACCTTGAATTTTTTTAATGACTTCTGGTATGACTTAGCTTTGCTTAAGGCCTACAACAAGTGAATATCAAACTCACACTTTCCCTGCCACATGAGCAGTGGCCACCTACAGAACATTTGTGCAAGCATGTGTACACTTGAACTATGGAGGGTATGTGTCTGCGGAGTGTGATTGTCCCAGAAATACCAGAGAAATCTGGGCAGAGAACGGGTCAGATTTAGCCCTTTCCCGTGGCGTGTGAGAGGCTGGCTATTCTTGAGGACAGGGTCCTTTGGCAGGCACAGCATGCATTCCTGAAAGCAGCATTTTCTAGAAGCAGCTGCACCTGAATGAGGGTCACTGTGGTGGCTCACAGAGTCCTGGAGTGTGGCTCCAGTGTGAGGTCTTCCTATCTCCGCCTCACGCAGTGCTGCAAGGGAGTGTGGCCTTTGTGGTTCTGCTGTGAGCACAGAAGAATGTGGTGAATTAGGCCAGCCTGTGGTGAGGAGTGGGAGGTAGCGACTCAGGGAGCAGGGCCCACTCCGTGCCTGCAAGTGTGAGATTTCAGGACCCGGCTATCGTTAGGAGCAGCTCCAGCTCTCCCAGCCTGGGAGTTTAATCAAAGGATACCAGCAGACCACCCAGGCGGGCGCCGCCATCCTGCGCTCTGTTGGTCTCTACTCACCAGCCAACCGCACAGTGATGTGGCCAGGCCTCCTGGAAATGTGCTGACAGACAGAGAGGAGGGAGGAGACACTCTTTGCTCTTCACATTTTTCATTCAGATGCCAGTAAAACAGAAAACCCCTTGGTGTCTTCCGTGTCTTTCATGTCTTTGCTGATACTTTCCTGCCTGGCCCTATAGAGATGGATATTTGTAAGGTGCCTAGCAGCTGCTCATTCACATGCAAAGGAATCTTCATCATTTCTTCTGCTTCAGCAGCTGCCATATGACTCCACAGT